ATGATCGCACTGCCAAATATTTCTGTTCGCTGTGGCCTAGCAACTCAAGGCCTAATTCTTTCCAATAGAGGGCAGTGGTGTCATTTTAGCCATTAATGGGAGCTGACAGACTTATTCCACACACAACAGGAGTAGCTTGATTTTTGATTTTTTTAAAAGGTAGTTTACTTCGTTCAACCTGGGAAATCACAGTATAACTAGCAGAGTTCATTTAAGCTAAATTGCACAAAGGCAGTTTGCTGGGTGTGGCCATATTACCAAATGCTGCTTTGTTCTCAACATTTGACGTTTGCAACTAGTCCAAACCCATTGTGTTGCTACAAAATCGCACAAATAATTTCTAGTGTTCCTGTTCAAAATATCAAAGAAACAAAACTTTAATTAATAATTTCTATATCATTTTTAGAATGCAGAAGCCTTCAGTGGTATTTCATCTTATTATTCATCATAAGAGCCCGATTAGCTCATTTATTTCTCACATATTGGGGAAACCAAGGCAAAGGCTTTCAAGAGCTTACCATTTAATTAACAGATATGGAGGGATTTGAGCATGTACTGGAACAGCGAAAGCTGCCTCATACAGAATCGAGGTGATGGTCCATCTTGGTCTATTGACCAGCAGCAGCTTTGTGGGGTTTTAGACAGAAGCCTTTTCAGCACTAACACATTGCATTTACTGTACTACTATTTGACCCTTATTAACTGGAGATGGCACCTTGTGCATGCAAAATATGTCCCCTTTGGCTAGCTACAGCCCTTCTCCATTCTGAAGACTGTATCTGTATTTTGTCACCAGTAATGCATTATCTTGCATGGCCATACAAGATTTTAACATGCAGTTCTGAGCTAGAATGATCACCACAAAATAATCTCTTTTAAAAATTCCTCTTTGTAACGTGGTATTGTAAAAGCGGCCGTAAGACATGAAAACCTGGGGAGAAAGCTAGTTTTCTAATACTTTTCTAGATATGGCAATTCACAGCTGTGCAATGCTGGTAAGTGTTCTTAGATTCACCATGTGATAAGATCTTTCAATCTTCATACTGTATGTGTTGCATGATGGGAAGGAGTTACAGCCACAGTAGCTGCAAAAGGCATGAAAGCAGTGGATGAGCATAGAGGACAGCTAGTTCTGGCAGCAGATATGGAAGAGGGACAAAGCTATTTATTTTAATCACAGAATTTAGGGTGATTCACACTTTGTTTTGTTCTTTTTGCACACTTTACCATAGTGACAGGGTAAATAACCCACAGGAAAATCTGCCCTGCAAATTCGTGGTAAAAAGATCTAATAGTGTTGGCTGGTCCTTGAACAACTAATATTAAAATGGCAGGAACAATGTGGTAAGTACAAAAGAACAAGGCAAAGGAAAGACCTGGAGGCAATGGCTGTTGGGACAAGGGAGGCACTTGGTAGGTGATTTGTGGCTAGGATATAAAATCACAGTCAACAGTGGAGGGCACCAAGGCCATGTCCTGGAACCGGATAAATGGGAATTAGAAATATATTAATAGAATTTGTTCTTAAGAGACATTTTTCTTTTATTTTGGCACTGGCTCCAAGTATTCATAAGGTAAAAGCTCAGCCTGCACAAAACAACAAAGTCTGTAAGTCTCTAATTATTGAGAGCCAAAAACTTTTCATGGCCATAAGAGCTTTATGATATTGGGAAAGCCCTTATAAATAGCCCTATTGATAGTCGGATACATTCTCCGCATAGTCACTAAAAGGGCTGATTAAGCTGACCCAATTTTTGTACTTGGTTTTTTTCATATAAAATAAAATCTGAACACATACAGAAACAAACAACCCAGATTTCTTTTCTTCTGTAAAGTGCTAATGTTCCAAACAAATACCTCCCTTCCTTTCACCCTCTTTCCTACAATGGTCATCACCATCATCATCATAAACTCAGCTTACATAAATTTATTACAAAGGAACAGCTGCTCTCTCTCTCTTTCCTCTTGCCCTCCTTCCGTATGAGAAAAACGTTGAAAATGAAAGAAAGTTAATTAGGCTATTGGTACGTTAAGCAAAATATTATTTCATTGCACCCAGCCTATACAAAGACAGTTTGCTTAAACAGTTGCTGATAAGAACACACAACTCAACCCAGGTCAATTTGAGACATTAAAATGTGTCAAAATTCAGAATTGGACTTACACACAAAAAGAAAAGCATCCTCAATTTAGAATAGGCTCTTTGCTTGATTGTCACACTGACTCCACTTCCCAGCCAAGTGGGCTCATCACACCACATGGATACCACAGGGGTTATTGAATATTTGTCAACAAGAACATGGGAAGCCAACCCTCTTGATTTATTCTTCCATTTGAGATTACAGAATATTTTAAAGCTATGTGGTGATATTCTTGTGTAGCTGCGTATTAACAGGGACTGCTTCTGAATTGCATCAGGGACCTGTCCTGTTATTTTGTTTCATTTAACTCATACTGATGAAATAAACTACTGATTTATTTCACTTGCAGCTGAAGAGCTGTTATCCCGATCTTCCTGATTCTTATATTAGCTTAGCAGATGTTCCAGTTCCTGGTGCACCAAAGAACACACTGTACACATTATACGTACCATGCTATGAGGTCGCAAATGCAGAATGTGGCCAGTGGAGAGTCAGATTCCATTCACTCTCCATAAAGGACAATGGGATGTGCTGGGAGAAGCTTCGGAGACAGAACCTCCAGATACAGGGAAATTTGAGACATGAAACTCAAACCTATCTCCCACTGAGTACAATGTGGTTAACTTCCAAGTAAGCAAGCATAAGATTGCAGCCTGGAAATGTGAAACTCCAAGCAACTTCAGGGAACATTCAGTCTTCCCAAAGTTGTCTCCTGAATCATTTGCCCCAGATATCCTGTGGTCTGTTCAGATTTTCTTTTCACTTCACCCTGTGTAAGGTTCTCCCACGTTCAAACCCTTAGAGAAATACTTTTTCATGTTAACATATGGGCTGACCAAGACAAGGCATTGCAAATCCTCCCAAAGCTTTCAAAAAACCAATGCAGACTGTTTTGGTAAGAAGGGCAAAGGCAACAGAAGTTATCATTAAGGGTAGGCATGTTACAGAAAGAACCTGCCACCATATTTCCTTTTGTTCTTCAGCAGAGTCCTTACACTGTTCTTGATCTTTCTTGTCCACTCCACAAACATCTAATGAGGAACCTGTCTCTGCTGAGTGAACATACACAGTGGTGTGGGTTGATGGCTGATTTATGCTTTCTTTGGCAATGTTTGTGCTTCACTTGAGAGGCTAGCATCACACTTTGATGATCAAAATAATGTTCCTTGGTTTGAGGCAATACAATACAGTACATCCATCCCACTGTGTCCAGTTGTGGGATAAGAAAAGAATTACTTCCAGAAAAGAATAACAGGCTTCATCTGTTCACAGGACACTTTTTTTGACTCTCAGACTGCACACATACTGTCAATGGGTGAGTTTAGCCAACAGTCAGTGGATACTACTGTGAACAAGGGCCTCCTAAGGCTCAGTCCACTATTACCCATTGACGCACAGTGGCTAAGAATGTTGTAATAGAGTTGGATAGAACTCAGTTCTGATCTCCAATCAGCTACAAAGCTAGTCACTGCCTCCAAGCCTAACCTCCTTCACAGGGGACTCCTCCAGATAGCCTCTTTCTTGGGCATTCTTTCTGATTTGCTTGTAGGGAGGTTATATGTCTTCCCACCCATCAGTGGTTATCCCGCACTTTATTGTGTATTTCCCATCACTTTCCTAACTGCAAGAAGCCAGGTGGTGGTGGTTTTTTTAAAAGTTAATTTCTTGCACCAGAGTGACAGAGCACTGTAATGCGCTTTAGTTGTGCAAACCTCAATTTCCAGTAAGCAACTGAATTCCTCTGCAAAGCATTGAGTGTTTGGAGGTGACCAGAGGTGTTCCAGGGATAAAGGGGAGGGGGACAGTGTATGCTAAGTTAGGATCTACATTTTATAAGGGGGGGGGGACCCTGTTGCCTCCTATAATGTATTCCCAACTAGAAACAGTGTTTGTGGGATTTCTGAACACAGAGAGACACCTGACCCTTCATATGCGTGTTACAATGGATGAAGCCAAAACTTGCAAATCATCACTAGGTAATGATTTCATTTGGTGAATGGGGAATAATTTCACTTAGAATTTACCAGCTGAAGGAAGTAAATATACAGAGGGTTTTTTAAATACACATCATAAAGCAACTATAGCAGTCACATTACCATGGAGTGCACATGCTATATGGTCTTTAGAGGACCTTGAAGTGTGCACAGCTGATTATATAGCTCCTGTTTAGCATATGCATAAGCACAGAATCATCACATAAATACTATTAATGGGTGCTGTGATAATGTGCAACCATTCTGATGTCAGGTGGAATTTATAAAGAATTATATTATCGTGAGGTTTGCTGGCAATATTGTACTTTAATGAAAATAAGTTGCAGAATTTGTCCCATTCCTAGTTGCATCAGCTCCTTGAGCTGTTCCATTCTTCATTTTTGCTAAATGCATGCTTGTTCTCTACAGACTTCCATTTAGTTGTGACCATGTTCTCTTAAATATTTTAAGGAGTGTTTTATTTAACTTTGCTGAACTGTTTAATGTTGCTTGTAATAGTTCTGTATCAGCAGCAGATTCGTTTTGGTTATGACTTACATTTAAAATGTATTTGTAAACTGCTTAAATATGCTAAGAATTATCCTTAGGGACCACAGTAAAATGCAGTCATGTTTATTTGTAATTGCTACAAAATGGTTTACAGAATTGTTAGTGTCTTTTATTATGCCCTGCTACTGAAGTGCTTGCTTGTTAATTAGAGAAATTTCAGCTGTCATAGGCAGCAATTATAGCTTCTGTATCACTGTCTGTTATGAATAGTCAATGAGAGCTGATTAATATGCATGAGCAGCAGTATATAGTGTGTGCATTGGACTAAAGCAGTAGAGGGAGTGTTGTGTACTGTGAGTGGAGGAGGGAGAGCATTAAGGAAGAAGGCAGAGTTGCTTGCCAGTGATCAGAGCATCACCAACGTAAATCGTTTCAGTTTCATCTGACTCTCTTAGTGTGCCAAAGGGATATCTACATGCATGCTTGCTAACAACAACTTCCCGGGCTCTTGCGGTGAATAAGAAAGACAGTTTTCTTAAACATGGGATGCAGCTTGTGCTCTCTGCAGAAGCAAGAGGAACAGTACAAATTGCTGTATGAAGTTTGCCAGGTAAAGCTGTTTGCTTTGAATTCTAAGGACGTATATATGTTACTTTAGCTGCATGACAATTGCTGCTATTTTTATTGTCAGAGCAAGAAGAAGGAATAGGCAAGGAATGTTATTCCATTGTAGCAAGTAAGCTATTACCTTATTTGACATGGGCTTTGGGATTTATTTATATTTTATGGTGATGTGCCTTATGACACAAGTGCAGAGGTTTAAATATTCGTTGAAATGCACCATATATGTAATAAACAGGCATCTATAGCTACAAGGCAGTAGACCCTGAGACCCTGTCCCCAGCATGAGTTAAGGAAAACATCTCAGCCAGGGTCAGATCTTGGTCATGCTCTCTTTGAACAAGTTTGGAAAGACACAAGTGATGATTGATGTGGCGGAGGGGTTGGTCTCTGTTTACCAATAGTTCTATGGTGCTTCTTTCTGGAGGACAAATGCACTAACTTACTCACCACAGACAGTGAACCACTACCTCTACCAATACTTTGGCTCAAGTTTAATTCCTGTAGATTCTGTGTTTCTGTCAGTTGTAAAAATTTCTTTTGCTACCCAGGGGAGATCCCGTCTAGAATTCTTTCATTATCTATATACAATATTTTCTCTTTCCCTACTTCTCTGGCTACAAAGCACAGTGAGAATAAACGAACACTTGAAAAATCATTCTGCTCTATATAGTCCATGCCATTTTTTAAATATTTGTTTGAGCTCCAGCTATTTGCCTCTTCAGTTGATTCTGAAAGGTCATCTCATCCCAAAGTACAGGTTTGTAAAGAAATACTATAATAGTAGCTCCAGTAAAGTTAGACATAGCATCAAAAGGAAATGCAGAATTTGACAAGACAAAACTTGTTTTACCTTCTCTTTACCAATAACTAAATAAATCTGAAAAAGTGGCCATCTTTATGCACTATATGTTATTTGACTCTAGAAGGGAGATCTAAACAATAATTTTAAAATATAACTGTGAATATACAAATTGCATGTGGGGTGATTCCGTCTTTACAAAGTACTTTAAGGAAATGAAAAACAGAGCACCTAGCAACAATTATTGCTAAATGCAAAAAGTGTTTTGTTTTTACATTTGCCAGCAGAGGGTGTTGCAAATCACAGAGAAAGGTGAGATAGTCTTTGTTGTGGAACTACTCATGTCACTCACAACACAGTTAGTAAAATGGGCCTTGTGTTGTGTACTAGCAGGAACACAGTTGAATTTTAAGCACCATTTCCCATATATATGTCTCTGACACTTCCCAGAGAACACAATGGCTAAGTAGAAAACTTTGTAACTACAAATAGAAAGGCATGCTCACTGTTGTGGTTGTTTTATATCAGCTCCCTTGATAAACAGTTTTCCTGTGTATTAGGAGAGCAAATGTTTTAGAAAGCAAGGTAGCAAGACTTCTTGGGTATCATCACCACAAACTTATATTAACATTGTTCTTGCAAATTTTATCCTAAGGATTAGATACTCTGTCATAAGAGTTAACCCGTAACACTTCCTTGTTTTTTATTATATAAAGATCTTGAATACTATTAGGCTTTAGTCCTATGACCGCTTAAGGAAGGATTTGTGATTATAGTTAATTCGCATTGCAGATAGGAACTTTGCAAAATGTTTGTAAAGTATTGGTGGGGAGAGGGTCTTCATAAAAATTTTGATAGCAGTAATGGACCTCAGTGCTGGAAATAATTAGACACAGGTTTACTGAGGGCCAATTGGATTATTAGAAGAGTTGTAAGGGGGGGAGCTAATGTACATTAAATCTCAATTACTTGCAGTTTCAGTGTACTAAGTGTCAACACAGCAATCTCGATTTCAGAGAAAGAAATCCTGCTTTTATTTTGATTAGGAGATACTATGCAAATCATTAATTTCAAAGTGAAAAATCATATCTAAGAAATGGGCAGTTATTTTTTGCATAAGGTGTGTGCATCCATATCTTGACACACACATTTTCCCGTTCACTGAATTTTACCCCTTATTTTAGGTCATGAGCAGCCTGATCCATGACCTAGTTAAATGGAAGTACTTGAACTTCAGCCAGTTTACAGCTTGAACCCCAAGCCAGCTAAGTTGGAATAGTAGGATTTAGCCAATGGTCAGCTCGGTCCTATTGATCAGCTTTACCGGCACAAACAGCAGTTTTGAGCAGCGAGAGCTGAAGCGATGTACTGCACTACCGCATTTGCCCAGCCTCCCTTTGCTATTAGAGTTCAGCAGCAGAGGGCTGCTCTACTGCTCCTGATTCCAAGGCTGTTTCTCAGTCTTTGGCATGGTAACAGAGGGCTCACCCCATGGCCCAGCCAATCCATGCATGAAACAGCTGTGCTGGAAAAGGAAGAATGCTGATACAGCAACATTAATGGCCATGGCTTTGGCAGTGCTTGGGATCACACTGGCACTGCACTTTCTCACATGCACAGTTGATCTTTATGGTTTGCTTCTGCTCTACTAACACAGCAGGCTTGGGCTTTGTTGTTGTTGTTAAGCTGAATATTACCAGTGGTTTAGAGACTGGTGCATGTTGGAAGGGCTGTTGTGCCAACTTCACTTATTTTTGCATGTGCTGGGGGTGACCACATATTAAATGGGAATCCTACGTATAATAGATATCACTGGGTATTGGTTACCAGATGTTCAGGAGGTATTATTACTGGGCCATATTCCAGACAGTGCAGAATATGAAGTTCATAGATGTTGATTCAACATATGCTTGAAGTAGCATAGCGTAATGTTGCTCAATTACAGAAGCACCTTAATGTGCCACAGTGAAGAGCTGGTTCAGTAAGTTGTGGGATATAATGATGATTGGGGGGGATGGCAAGTTGTGTAAAACTGAGAGATGACAATAATCAGATAATTGTATTTCCAACTATCATATATCATACTGTATTTTCTTCTTAGTGTATTTGTATTAAAGAACCTGAAAATACAAAACAAATGTAAAAGGCTTGCATAGCACATTGTTAAATTCTCACAATGTGAATAAATGAGACATGCTTTCACACACACCTGCAGCAGGATGAGAGCTGATTCCACTTGATGCAGTCCTGTGTAGCTACTGGATGCAAGTGCATATGAGACCCAAGGCCATGTGTCTGTCAGTCATCAAGTGCTTGACCCCATCCACATAGTTTCAATATTCAGATCAATACAGTGGTACCTCTGGTTATGAACTTAATTTGTTCCTGAGGTCCGTTCTTAACCTGAAACCATTCTTAACTGAGGAACCACTTTAGCTAATGGGGCCTCCCACTGCCACTGCATGATTTCTGTTCTCATTCTGAGGTAAAGTTCTTAACCTGAGGTACTAATTCCAGGTTAGTGGAGTCTGTAACCCAAAGTGTTTGTAACCTGAGGTGTTTGTAACCCGAAGTACCACTGTATTCAGATGTATACCATGATCACATAGGATCACAGCACAAAAAGAGACACCTGGAAGTCAAAAGTGATCATGCCTGCCAAATCTCTGCTGGGAAAGTGTTGGACAATTGACACCACATGGCTGACTTACAGTTGAGCCCAGTCAGGCCTCTGTAGCACAGGGGACAACTAACAGCACCCTTCCAGATTATCTCAGTGAACAAGCTAGCATGTAAGCACTCAGAAGGTCCTTTGGCCTAATCCAGCAGATTTCTCTTATGTTCTTCCCCAGACAGACTCTTTACAGAATTTTGCAAAAGTTTAGCAGTTTTGCATCATTGTTGGCAAGCCGGAGACTTAATACTAGCTGCTGAGGATGAGTCTCAAGCTTACAAAATAGTTATATTTTAAGGTTTTGATTAGGTTTGCAAATTAGTGCTTAACAGCACCAAAAGTTATTCCAGATTCTACAAAGGCCTGCTCAGCAATAATCTTTAAATGTCATTCTGTTTGTTTGTTTGTTTGTTTGTTTGTTTGTTTGTTTGTTTGTTTGTTAATATCGTTGTCATTCCTCCCAGGAGGGAAGGGCAGCTGTGAGCTACCTGGCTGAGACCTTTCTGGCTGAATAGGGTTTTTCAGGTAGCTAAACAAGATGTGCATAAGTTCCATGATCATGAATTAAGTTCCTTCTGTCTCCATATAATAACTCTCATTTCTCATTCTCAGTTTTTGAATTGTAAAAATCATATATGGTGCTACGTCAGGACTGTCATTCATTCTGTCATTCAAGCCATTTTCAAAACTGTAGCCCTCTCAATACAGCTCATGTCAATGCCATTAAAAACAAACATAAAACATATTCAAAGCAGTTTTAAATATGCCCAATAGAATAAAATTCAGTAAATTTTGACAAGGACTCGACAGCAGCATGTACTACAAAAACTTACATTGAAAATTAAGGGGAAACTAGGCAAGTTTTTGAAACTTTCTTAAAAACCAGAACTGAAGGAGCCAATCATACAATTATTAGAGATGCACACTCTGCACTGAGAATATAGCAGAAGGAAAGGAAAGACAAATTGTGCATTTTTAGAGCAATACTATCTCTCTGTATGTTTGTCTATCCACGTCCGTATTGTAATTGGATGAATCATGAGCTGTTCCTATGCGCTTTTGACTTACAGTGAAAAAACTCCAGTAGAAGAAATGGGGGAAATGGTACTTGAATGAAAACACATGCTCTGGTTGCCAAAGGCAAAGGGAGCTCACCCCGTCATGAGCAACGGGAGCTCACCCCGTCATGGGGATTCGAACAGCTTACCTTCTGATCAGCAAGCCCTAGAGGCTCAGTGGTTTAGACCACAGTGCCACCCGCGTCCCTTGCACTAATGCACTAGCCATGCATTTATTTTATTTTATTTTATTTTTTAGGCCGTAGAACAGCATCCATTTGAGAGTAACCCCATCAAACCCAGTGGGGCTTACTTCTGAGTAGAGCTGCATAGGATTGGAGATTCTTATTTGAAGTGGCGATGGAGAAAACTGAGGAAGGGAGGTCTGTATTCTGGACCAGTTAATCCAGAACACTTTTGTCTCTGGCTCCACCATCACTGGTTCCACCAGCATACAGTAATACTTTCCAAGGGAATGCAGCCCTTGACAGAGTAAAAAAAGATGGTTCTCCCTTACCTTATAGGAATACTTCAGCTGGGAAGTCTGAAGGGAGGGAGGTTCTGATTTTAAAGTGACATAGCGTAGACCCTTCATTGCATACATAGATTTGCGTAATCTGAAGACTTTTGTCATGGGCTGGGTTTTCTGCTGCTTAATTAGTTCAGCATTCTCGTTGATAGACTGGAGACCTGTAATCTGCTGGAAAATGGCCTTTAATGACTGTGGCGCCTGTCCATGGCTCAGAATCCCCCTTTCTTAATTAGACCATTTACTAGAAACTGGCAATTGAAATTTTCCTCTTAATTTGATGATGAATAATGCAACACCTCCATTGGATTCTCTATAGAAAATACAGTTTCTTCATGGTAGAAGGGTTTTTTTGTTTAAAAAAAACAAGTCATGGTTTGAAAGTTTTGTTTCTTTTTTTAAAAAAAAAACCCCTACTTGTTATGAGTGATGCACTAAAATAGCTTCAAGTACCTTTTTGCATTACAGCCTTCAAAATATTAATATAGTAATTCACCCAAACATGTAAAATTTGGAGTAGGGGGTGCCTTTACTGTGCTGGGAGTATTTTTCTCTCCTTAAAATGATAAATGATTGGGTGAACAAGTTTGTAATGGTTTACATATATACATCTGTTCAACGCTATGAAGCAGGTGGCAAGAATTCGCAGGGGAGGAAGCACTAGGGACATTTGCTCTGAGCTTTACTGTCACATGTCAAATACTGGAAGGGAAAACAGGCATATGGAGCAGAGGGAAAAGTGCAGGTTTAATAAATGGGCTGTGTTATGTTCATTAATAATGAAAGGGAAGGTCATGACTCATTTTCAGGAGCACCAAAAGAGCACTAAAATTGTGTATATTGGAATTGAGACAACTGAATAGTGGTGCAATAAGTGTTAATAAAGCATCCATTCACATTTTTCTGACTTGGTTATGTGGTCTGAATCTAATTGCCGGGGCAGGTGGGAAGACTCATTGCTAAAAGGCAAATATGAGTATGAGCAGCCACCAGAACTGCAAAAGAACTTTTTAAAAAAACAACAACTATTTTACCTAATACAGAAAAACAACTAGGGTTTAGCAAAGAGGCCGGCCGAATTTGGGGGGCTGAGTTATCTGATAATGCATAACTGTGAGAGAAACTTGGTTCTTGGCCATTGAAAAAGTCAATGAGCCTAGTCTGTAACACACTGTATAATGGTACAGTTGATTCCACGCCCTCTGCCCCAGACATGCCCCATTTAACTCCAGAGTATCGGTTCAGCAATACTTTGGCTTAGCCCAGCTTTTAACAAAACTGTGCGCATATCCACCTGTTCACCAACCCAGTAATTCAAAAGCCAGGTTCTAAACAGGAGATGAGAAAGTATGAGTACAAGGAACATGCACTATGCTGAATAGAAAGTGGATGGAAACTGTTTCCTTCCTTGCCCTGATGTAACCAGACCTGTTGCTCCAAATACCTGCATAATTGCATATTGTTCTCCCATTTAGCCCAGCCTCCACTTCCATCCAGTTTTATTCTGTTTCTTCCATGCCAAACTTTAGATTGTAAAGCCCTTGGAGCAGGGACCTGTCCTCTTCTACTCTGCAAAGTGTGGATGGCACTATGTAGATGATGATGATGAAACAGCTGGCGGCGATGATACGTGCCAGCTGTTAATGTGTGTGGTGGTTGTTTTTAATAAGTTAAGTCTGAAGCGTGAGAACAAGCCTCTTGAATGGATCCTTGGACTGCTGCAAGAATTCTGCTCCCCCCTCTCCAGGTCCAGTCCAAAAGGCACAATATAAAAAGCAGAGTCATGGCATATGTTTAGGTGCACCGTGAGCCTGGTTTTCTGATGGATGCAGTAACAGCACAAGCAAGTCAAACAATAGTTCAAGCCACCAGTCTTCTTGCATCAGCCTCCAAGAAACACAGGAGCATGACTCCTAGCAGGTCAGACTATTTGTCCATGTATTTGGCAGCAGCTCTCCAAAATCACAAGCAGAAATGTTTGTCTTTCCCATCGCCTGCACATGACCCTCTTAGTGGGAGATGTTGTGGATTGAATCTAAGACCTTCTGTTTGCGAAGTCTGTGCTCTTCTCCTTAGACGTGATTCCTCCCCAAAGCCTATGATCTCCTGTTGTAGCTAGATATACTGCATTTAACAAAGCTCCTCTCAGCTAAGTGCTTGAGACATCATAAGCTTTGCAGCCTCATCAGGAACCTGGCGGTGGAGTGCTGCCTTGACGTTCTGAAACTGGAGGGGGCAACCAACGAAAGTGACTCTTCCCTGAAGCCTCAAAACAGCACTTGGCTTTCTGATAATGAACATCTGACCGTTTGCTTGTGGGACCAGGGAGAATCTGCTGTCATTTTATGGGTCTTCACTCTTAGTGTTTTATCATAGATGGTAGACTTCTTTAGATGTTCTGCCTTACCAGCACTATTGCAGTAGCTTCTGTCAGTGTTCCCATGCTTTTGATGTTCCATCTAAAAATTCCACTACTGTGACACCTATGAATGAATGTTTTCATCAGCAACCATGGAAGCAACACACCTCCCAAAGGTTGAGACCTGCTGCCTGCATTGTCAGAGGCAGAATTCTCCAACTGCTGCAGTTATCCTGATAAAGAGGGCACAATTACCATTCCTATCCCATCACCCAGTCTAGATCTCTTAAGCCAGGGGTGTCAAACTCAAATTCATCGGGGGCCGCATCAGCAGTTTGGTCACCCTTAAAGGGCCGGTTGTATCTGTAGGACTATGTGTCCACTCTTTATTATCATAAATTATTGTCACTGCATTCAATTATTACTGTTTTTTGTAATAATGTTCACAATAAGTGAACTAGGCAAGAATTTGCTTCCTCTTCTTGCCCTCCCCCCACCCCCAAACCAGTCGCCTCAAGATCTCTCCTCCTCACTCTGCCTAACAGTAGGGCCGGCCTCAAACGCATCCTCGCCAGGCCCCTTTTCACTCTTGTTTTTATTGCCGGGCTTCCGAGGGAAGCAGCAGACACACAGCCTGCCCTTCTCCCTGCCTGCTGCGGAACAGCTCAGCCTCTCGGACCAAAGCAGGAACACGGAAGCCGCCTAAGCCGCGAGCAGCATCTGCTGCAACCCCTGGCAGGCACTCTGAAGCCAATGCGCCGGCTGCTGCTGCTGCCCGCCGTTTCCTTGGAGGGAGATGGAACGCGCCCAGTGACCCCTCTCCTCCTCCTCGCTGCCTGCCAGCTGGGCTGGCGGCTGGGAGGGAGCGGGGGGCGGGTGTGGGGAGGGGAGGGGGCAGGGCTGCCTGCTGCAGTCACTCTGCTGCCACATGCCCCAGTCCCGGGAGGGAGAGGGGAAAAGAAGGCGCTGCTCCGGTGGAGGGATACAGCGCGCCGTATAAAAAGCGCGCTGTGCAGCCTCACACCTACAGCATTTTTGGCGAAGCCTAACCGGAGCCCGGCTTCTTCTCACCCTGCCACTCCCATGCATTTGCTAGCTTCAGCGGCTGCGCCGGGGACTCGGTCAGGCCCGCGTCCCGGAGCTCGGCTGGCGAGCTTGTGTGGCTGATCTTCGCGTTGGAGGGGGGCGGGCGGGCTGCGGCGCAGCTGGATCACCAACCCTCTTTGGGCACAGCTGGCCTGGATCAGTGGTCTCTCTCGCCTGCTTTCCCCCACCCCATTCACTGCGGGGTCTGCTCGGATGTCCTAAGAGGGGGGTGGGGGTGGCGAGGGAGCCCTGACTTGCGCTTTCGCTCCCGACCCTTGATCCTCCTTGCCCAACCCAAATCTTCACCCTCCAACTCAGCCACCCACGCACCCTCTTCCCAGCTCTGGGGCTCGTTGCAGTTCTCGCTTCCTCTCCTCAGCAAAAGGAAGGGAGGGGAATAAAAACCCGGGGCTGCGGCCGGTTCCTGTCTTTCAGAGAAGCCGCTTGCCCGGAACTAGAATATAAGTAGATATTCAAATGTACACGGGCCACATGACGAGGTCTGGCGGGCCGGATTCGGCCCGCGGGCCTTGTGTTTGACACCCGTGTCTTAAGCCTATTGGATTCTTCTCATTCATCATGGCTACCCTGAAACAAGGCTCTCAGTGTGTCACCTCACAATTTCCATTATTGTCCCCTGGGCTCTGCTTGACTGTTCCCTTGGGTGCTTCTAATGAAAAGGCTACATGGAAATCAGATTTTAACTCAGTATCAGTAACTTTTGGTTCAAAGCAAATAGATTAAAATCTATCTTTTCGGTTTAGGCCAGCCCCACTATATATATGAGAATTGTTTCCTTCTATATGCCAGAGACACACCAAAATAAATCAGTCATGCAAGGTTCATTCTAATTAACCTGTCTCAGTGTCGTTTTCTTTAGGGCTGAGGTTTCCCACTCAGAATTTTTTCCTTGGAGAGCTAAATATTTCAGAGAGGACAAGTGGATTTTGTTTTATTCAAACAAGAATTTTCTTTTTAGTCTTTTTCTTTATACCATCAATAGCTTACGAGAGAAAAGGGAAGTGCACACACTTCAAAACAGTCTGTTGCTAAATAATACAGTTCTGCATCTATAAAAAAAAGAAACTGTCCTTTCTAGTGAAATAAAAGAAGGATTAGATGAAGCTGTAAAAAGAATTAACCTGTACTTTGAACCTCTTTTCTCTAGACTCTGACGGAGAAGAGGAGATTTAGAAAATAGGGTTTTTTTGCTGTTGCATTTGCCATAAAATTATACTGCTCCCCCTCCCTAAAATGCAGACTTCTTAAAAGCTGGCTAAATAAGTGTATCAGACCATAAAGTGTGCTCTAAATGAGACACAGACATCTGTAGTCTGTCAGAATGGCAAATTTTGTAGTACAAATCCCAAGGATTGGCATGCTTTTCTGTAAAGGAAAACTTCTTTTTCTTTATTAAGCACAAATGTTTTCTTAGACGCATTTGTCAGTGGCATAATGGACAATGCAGACATAATAGATGATGCAAAAAAATAAAAATGTTTGCTGTTCATTAAGTCAGTAGAAAGCCTGCCTTGTCTGACAGGCAGTTCAGTACAGTATATGATTTTATTTCAAAACATGAAGATTACTGTAAGTGGTCTTTCTTTGAGTATCTCTTTCTTTCTAATCAAGTCTGAGAAGGTGGCATCTCAAGACATGTCCTGAAAAGCAGATTCACAAGTGCATGGGTGGCTTCCATTTTCACTTCCTGTTGCCATGTCCAAAATAGGAACCCCTCCCCCATGAGAGTTCAAATATTTGTTCTCCTTACATTAAAATACAGCAGCATGCAGTAGAAAACACACGTCTACTTTGTGTTGCATGCTTTTATCACAAAACCTGATCCACACGTAGATCTCTCTTCAGGTGTTAGGGCAATCTGGAAATCTAGCATGTGAGGGGTGTTTCTCCTCCACAAATTGGAAGGTGACAATCTAAAGCAGACAGCCTCCTTGTACTCATTGAGACACCCTGAGTTGTGGAATTTGCTCAGTTTGTTGTGTTAACCTCTCTGTTTCTGAGGTCCAGACACCTTTAAGAACCCGAATATGCTTTTTAGCTCCCATGCAAAAGGCCTCCTGTGGTGGGTTTTCAGCATCTCAGGTATAACTTTTGGTTCTGCTTACTTGGTGGGTGTTTCATATTGTGTGTGGAGTTTTCTGTGCCAACACCTTCTGCCTTTAGGACTTTCAGGTCTTGGACTGAAAACTCTCCACATTGTTAAGAAGGATCCATTTGGCAGAACCCTTTGGACATAAGTGGAATGTGGAGTAGTCACCAATTGGCAGCAAGCAGCCTCTTTACCAGCCCTAGGAACAAGGCTCAGGGGAGCTTACAAACACAGCTCCTCCCACTGCCTTACATAGACTTAACCTGCTGACCATTTCTCTTGTTGTGAACCTTTATTTCCTTTTGCCCTTAAAAAACAAGAGAGCTCCCCCACCCCCTTTTCACCAAATCCACATGATTGATGTGACTGTTTCAGATGTCCTTAGCATTCTCTTGCTTGGAAGATTTTCCATTTGGATTTGTGCCTGGGCCTCCCACTTTTCACGTTATGGTGCCATCTATTCTTGATTAGGAACATACATCATGTGTTGCCTTAATGCTCTGTTGTATCATTCCTTTTCTCTCCCATGACTTCCGAGTGTCCATGTCCATTGTGTACAGATGGATCACACTGTCCCTTTTACATCCTTTGCTACTCTGTTTGCATGATAAGCTGACCAACTCATCTCAGAGCCAGATCCACCAAAATTCATTCTCTGCAGTACCCTTTTCAGATTGACCGTAGCATGTCAAAATTCATCATTGCTCAAACTCAGAAATTACTGTTATTTATAGCACCTTATACATTGCTACTTATTTTGCTATATATATTTTAATCATGCTAATACAGCGATACCTCAGGTTAAGTACTTAATTCGTTCCGGAGGTCTGTCCTTAACCTGAAACTGTTCTTAACCTGAAGCACTATTTCTGGGTTAGCGGAGTCTGTAACCTGAAGCATATGTAACCTGAAGCGTATGTAACCCGAGGTACCACTGTACAACATCACCTATGCAACACCTGCATATTGTTTGTGAAATTCTTTAAAGAAGGTGAGAATTCTTTAAAGTAACATATTCTGACATCAGTATCATACCCCTTAAAAAAAATCAGATGGGCCACAAATAAAGGTGAAGGCTGCTATGATATAAAAGAGGAGCCATAGCTAGCGTGTAGAGCCAGAATGGTGTGATTGTTAGTGTGTTGGACTGTGAGCAGGGTTCGAATCCACACTTAGCCATGAAGCTCACAGGGTGACCTTGGGCTAGTCACCATCTCTTAGCCTAACCTAACTCAGGGTTGTTGTGAGGATGAAATGGGGGCGGGGGGGAGAGAACCATGTATATGACCCTGAGCTCCTTGAAAGATAAAAGTGGTATATAAATGTAATAAATGAATACATATAAAGGAAACCGTTAAGTAGCTGCACTCTAAGCCTGGTTTCGCAATGGAATTAATATGTGCGCATACCAGCAAATTGAGTGTTCAGACTTGTTGTTACTTGGTCTCTTTATAGCAAGTCAGACTATTTATCCTTCTAGGTCTGTATTACCTAATCTGACTGGCAGTGACTCTCCAGAATTTCAGCCTTTGCTTTTCCCATCACCAGCTACAATATAATTTTAAGTGGCGTCTGAACCTGGAAGCTTCTAAGCCATGGTTAGGGAAACTAAGGCCTGGGGACCAGATCCAGCCCAGTCACCTTCTAAATTCGGCCCACGGACGGTCCGGGAATCAGCATGTTTTACATGAGTAGAATGTGTCCTTTTATTTAAAATGTACCTCTGGGTTATCTGTGGGGGCTGCCTGGTGTTTTTACATGAGTAGAATGTGTGCTTTTATTTTAAATGCATCTCTGGGTTATTTGTGGGTCATAGGAATTTGTTCTTTTTCCCCCTCCAAAATATAGTCTGGCCCCCCATAAGGTCTGAGGGACAGTGGACCAGCCCCCAGCTGAAAAAGTTTGCTGACCCATGTTCTAAGCATTCAAAACATGTGAGCTACCACTTAGTTACAGCATACATATTAGAGGTACATTTTCAGTTTTATCTTCTTTGTAAACTGCTTTGAGCTTTTTTCTACACTCAAGCGGTATATAAATTTTATTTTTAAAAAAATTGGGGGTCAATTGTGACTCGTACAAGGAAGCAGGTTGTGTCCCCAGGTTTAGCTCTGTGTGATTCCTCACTGACAAAAGTAAAGTATTGCACTTGGAGAGAATTTTGTAGTAGGGACTGGCAGGGGCCATTGACATTTGTCCCCACTGTTAGGAATCCCAGAGCTGGAGAAGCAGAACATTTCTCTGTGCAGAGGGTAGAGATACACTGTGCATGTGCACACATGCGCATGAGTAAAATATGCCTTCTTGCACACAAACACTGCCCATCATAATGAGTGAGCCCAAGAACGTCAAAAATAGCTTCTTTAAATCACGTAGTAGATCACCCCATATACAGGGTGCCAGTTGACAGAAGTTACTCTATAAATCATATAAGTGACTGGTTTCTTATTAAAATATTCCTCTTCCAAAGAATTATTGGGCTGGATGTGCTTTGCCATTGATCTTCTTCACACACTATGAGATCGTTATAATTGGATTCCCGGGGCAAGATAGACATCTTGCTGGAATACCTCATTCTTCATTAACAATGTTCAAAGTTGTCTCGCTAGTAGGATATGGGATGAGGTGTCAACCATTCTGACACTAATATAAATCTAAACAACTCCCAGGAAAGCAGTAGTGTTATGTTGGATTCACATGGCTGATCTTCTTCCATATCCTGGTGACTTTTCCAGTCACCCCAAATAGCCCCATGTGAAAGATCTAATATGCAATCAGCATACCAAACATCAAGCATGCTCTTCTCATGGGTAAGAACTTTTCATAACACCAAGTTCCCATTTAAATCTCACTAAGGGGTGAGTGGAAAGTAGCTACATGAATTTACAGTTCAGGCCTCAAGCAAACCATGGCTGCCATGAGTTCAAAAGTGGTTGTGCAATGGTGTCCACACATCTCTGGGCACCTTGAGCTTTAGCAGGCAAATGGCTGGAATTGTGGGTTTGCAAGGCCTGCCAAAAACCAGCCCTCTTGCTCCACAAACACTAGTTGTCCCATCCCAAGTACTAACCAGGCCCAACCTGGTCGGGCAGGACTGGGTGCTTTCAGGGTACTGTGGCTATAGGAAAAATGCACGAGTTCTGCCTGCGGTACTATTTACCCCAGCTCCAGGGGGTTTTGTGGATTTCAGTCTATGAATTAAGAGCAAGAGCAGAGTCCAAGCTTCAGAAATTTCAGTCTTCGGACATTAGAATGATCTAGGTGATCATAACATTTGAGCAGCCATTCAGAGAAACAATAACAATCTGTCATCAGTTCCTTCCTCCCAGCATGACTCTTATGAGTCAGGGGTTATTTTAACAAACTCATAATACTGGAGAACATGCTCTGTTGCTAATCCAAGGTAAAATGATGACAAGACCTCTTGACAGTTGTGAGACATAAAAGCCAGCCCCCCGGCTCCCATCCATTATTGTCAATACAGCCTTTTCAGTAACACTGCACCCTTCTGAGGAACAAACTGAGTCTCTCTTTCTCTCTGTTCCTTCCTCCCTCTCCTCTCTTTCTCTCTTACACACACACAAACACTAACCACAGTGAGACAAAGAGAAGTCGAGGCAACACTGTTTTACTTTATCCCACAGTAGTCAGTATCTCCCACTGAGTTAGAAGAGTCAAAATAAAGGAGCTGCAATCAAGAAGCCTGTTTAAAATGGGAGCAAAACTTTCACCTACCCTCTCCTGATACTGGGTTTGCTAATGCACTGAACAGACAGCAGCTTCCTCTCCACACCCTCCCCACCACCTCAGAACCACAAGCAACAACAGAAGCCCTTGCACTTTTCCACACACATATCTGTCAATGGCTCCCATTGACTTCTGCGGAACAAAATTAATACAGCTCATGATAATACTGACGGGCAGTTCATTAGTTTCATCATAAACAAAGGAAGCCCGTGTGAGAGGAGGAAGGCGTGAACCTTGCCATCCACTAAAAGAAAGGAAATGAAAACAGGAAGATTAAATGTTTTGCAGATGAGCGGCTAAGGAAGCAACTAAATAAATAAAATTATCTGTGGAGCACTACTGCCAGTTGTATTCGTTTCCTGTCTTTCTACAGAGCGTATTAGCCAGCTCTTCAGAAGGTTATATGGGAAAAGAGTAAGAAGTGTTTTCCATAGAGCACAAGTTCAAACATGGCCCCTTCCCCTGTAGGTTGGCCTCTTGTGCACTCACATCTTGCACATGGTGTAATGCTACAGCAGGGGTGGGGAAACTTTTTTAGCACAAGGGTGGCCTTCCCTCATGGGCAGTCTTCTAGTAGCAACTTACTAGTGATAGCCAAGACTCTGTGCAAAAGTGGGCAGGGCAGTAAATGTGACTCTTGAAGCAGGTTATGTTCCAGCCATGCCAAAGTCTGAGGTTGCTACACACAGCACAGTCATCCTCCCCACCCTCCTTTTAGGCAAGCAAAAGGCATTAGCACAGTTCAAGCACACGTTCCAGCTGTGCAAAAGCACTCAGGGAGAGGGTGTGATCACTGGGAAAGGTGTGGTCAGGGAAAGGTCCCAGTGGCCAAACAGTGAAGTATTTGGCCCCCTGGCCTGAGTCTCTTCACGCCTGCCATATGAGCACCAAAAGTGGGATAAGTATGAGACATAATCTAATGTTTATACTGTGAATCCCATATATTCCACAAAAGTTAGCCCTGACCAGTTACTGTGATGATTCACCTTTCAACATGGCCAGACAATGCTTTCTAAAGTTTACAGTCACTTTAGAGGCTGTGTTACTTAAGTGCCTTTTCTGTTTAACAGCGAACAGCTATCTTTAGCAATGTTACACTCAATATAACATGGGTTGTTTTGATATGCTTTAACTCTGATTGCTTTGTCACCCTAATTGCTTAGTCTTGTAAAGAAAAGATCAGTACTAAACCTCGGGCATTGGAATTTGCACATTTCGTTTATTGTAAATAATAAAACTTTGGACACAATCAGCATTTCTCTTACTAACAGAAAACATTAAATTGGGCTTAATTTTACAGCTGTACAAATTGTAATGTGTTCAAGAGGGCGAGTTAATGGTATTTAATTTGACCAGGCCAAAACTGAGCATGCCTTGTCTTACATTTTTGCAGCTGCAGTCAGCACCAAGTGCTTACGCAATGTGTGGGGTAAAACAGAAATACTTTCGTTCTCAGGTTGAATGCACACACTAGATTAGGGATGCACAGCTTAGAGCACTCTGAAAGCCTCTTTTACATTCATGTTAATTTAAGAAGGCTGTACTGCTTTGTCAGCTGCAGGGATGCATTTTTGACACATTTTTAGCCCAGCCTTTTCTTTTTAGCTCCTGTTAACTCTCTCTCTACCTCTCATTCTAGAGCTCTCCTTTTCCCTCTACACTTCAAAGCATCTGGTCTCTGGACCACCACAGATTTCTCTTCAGCGTCATCTCATCTGTATTCACTTTTTCCTCCATGCTTATCTGCGTCCCACCTCTATTAGCCTATTTTGCACTCTCAACCCCATACCACTATGTGCCTGTCTCCTCCTTGCAGGACAGCTCAAGGCCTCTCTCTATTTAATATTTTCTTTTTCTCTGGAGGGTGTAGTGGGGGCAGCCTATAGGTCTGCCTTATGGTCATCTGAGGCGAAGGGGGTTGCACCAGGCTGGGAAGTCTGAACACTGTCTGGTGATGTGCAATGGATCATGTCTGCTAGAAATGAAGCGTTTCAGAGAGGCAGCTGTGGTAGTCAGTTGCGACAAAAACAGCAGCCTTGTGGCACTGTAGAGAATAAATTTATTGTGGCAGAGGCCTTTTGAAAGCCACAACACCACAAAACATGACACAATAAATCCGTTAGTCCTTAAGGTGCCACAAGACTCTTTGTTGTTCACCTTTAATTTAGAACTGACAAATCATTAAGTGCTTATTTATTGTATGTATTCTGCCCTTCTTCCAAGGCGATCAGAGCTGTATTTTTACTTTACAGCAGCCTTGTGAGCAAGCTTAGGCTGGGATATTATTACTTTGTCTATCTTGGTAAAGCAGATTCCATGGACATATCAGAAGGGTGCAAATTGTTCAGTACTGGCAGGAAGGAGAGTAGCAGGATTACAGCTAAAATGAGGGGTTCCTGAAAAGAAAGGAGGTCAGTGGTAGACCTTTCAGAACCCTGGACAGAGCACATAAAGCCGACTATTTGTTCCAAGAAACATAAGGCACAACTGAGCCATTATGGTCCTGGACCTCTCAGCTGAGCCCTTTTATGCTCCCCTTGCTGCCTAGTGGAGAACCTTAAAGGGGCAACTGTCTGGTCTGGAGCCTGAAAATCTGTTGTCTATCCATCAGCTTGCATCAGGCACATTGCCTGGGTTGATGTATCAGCTCTGTGGAGGCAAGTAGGTCAGCCCCTTGATAATGCTGAGATGGGGTGTGTGTTTGTTTGTTTGTTTGTTTGTTTGTCTGTTTAATGTACTTATATCCTGCCTTTCTCCCAAGTTGGGAATCAAGGCTGCATGCAGCTTTTAAAAAACATAGTCGTAAAATCTAAAGTAATAAAAATAAAAACCTAGTTAAAAACAACAGTCAAATTACTTTAAATCACATTTAGAATGAGCATTTAAATAATGCTGTAGTAACTGGAGACCCAGATTCAGGGATCTCATGTGCCACAGCCTTCAGCATCTACATCTCTGTGTCTCTGTCTGAGTCACTGCTGGACAAAGGCCACACACGAGTGCCACAGCTGAGCAGAGATTTGGAACAGGGCTTTCCAGATCTATAATCAATACTGTGGCTACTGTGGTGAACTGGTTCTTAAAGCTGAAATATTAATTATGCTGGCATGGAAATGAATTCCCTCGGTATCATTGGAATTCATTTTTTGAATAGATGTGCTTGGAATAATCCAGTCTATTCTAATTAGCATTACAGAGCTATTTGATGACTTTATACACACACTCCAGTGAAATGCCAATTGCTGATCATAAGCAGAAGAGGGCTCTTGCACACATATTCTGCTTGTTGGCTTCTCCTAGGTATCTGGCTGGCCAGTATGTGGACAGAAGAGCAGAACTCTTCTAATGTGTCTCTTATCCTCCTTTCTTACTCAAAAGGCATCTACCAACAAAATCCATTCTTTGTTCAAGAACCACTTCCAATCCCAACTCCTTGTTCTGATTTTTACCTCTCCCACTCCTCTCTTCTCAACTTCTGCTGCCACCAGACTCCATTTTCATAGCAAGACAACTATGGATACCTAGCCAAAAAAGTACCAAAATGTGGGTAATAGTAAAGCAATAAGTGTTTCCTGATTTGTGAAAGGAGCTGTCATATATTTCAAATCAGGAACTTCAGTCGCCCTCTGTTGGGTTCTGGGGTTGTTGAATAAGAGAGCTAGCCTTTTAAAATGAGAATTTCTACCCATATTGAAAGATGTTCAGCAATTCTTCTCACTTACAGAGTCCCACTACTAATGACTTTCACTTACTGTAATCCTATTTGGGCATTGTTGCTGCTGTGTTCCTCAACACTGGAGGAGGGATGATGCCAAGTATCCCTGCCCTACTAGCCTTTGTGCAAAGAGCATGACTGTCTTCATGCACAAATGCTCTATTGCTACAGACAGTTGAAGGCTAAGGGCAGCTGGATGCTTCCCCTCACCTGTGCAGACAAGCACAGGAGCAAGAACTGCCAAATAGAGAACAGACATATAATTTTCACTTACTATTATTTCTCCTTGCCATCATTCATTTTTTAAAAAAAGTTTGAAAAGGCTAGCGAGGGGATGGAGTCCTTACTTTTGCAGATGGGGTGCAACCGCCCTCTGCAAAGTCTAAATAATAAATGCCTTGCCCTGTATAGATGCAGAGGCCCAGGCCAAGTGGAGAAGGAATTGTGCTTAAGGTCATTTTGAACATTTTAATTGCTGCAGGCAGGAAAACGGAAAGACTTACGTTGGGTAAAGGTAAAGGTACTCCTGACCATTAGGTCCAGTTGTGGATGACTCTGGGGTTGTGCCCTCATCTCACTCTATAGGCCAAGGGAGCCGGCGTTCATCCGCAGACAGTTTCCGGGTCATGTGGCCAGCATGACTAAACTGCTTCTGGCGAACCAGAGCAGTGCACGGAAACTCTGTTTACCTTCCCGCTGGAGCGGTACCTTTTTATCTACTTGCACTTGACGTGCTTTCAAACTGCTAGGTGGGCAGGAGTTGGGACCGAACAATGGGAGCTCACCCTGTCGCGGGGATTCAAACCACCGACCTTCTGAGTGGCAAGCCCTAGACTCTGTAGTTTAGACCACAGCGCCACCCATGTCCCTTTATGTTGGATATGTGAATGTAAATCCTGAAACTGATCAGAAGCACTAGTTAATTTCTGAGTGGAAAAGGAGCCTGAAACCGATGTTATCCCTTTTTGTCAGGAACATCTGTTCTCAAATTTGTTGTATAAGGTGTGTTGATTCCTAGTGGTTTGCAGCCATTTTACTTCAGATATGCACCTTCAATAAGGCTTCCTCCTTGCAGTGTGATTTTTAGTAATTTCCCTGGCTAGAAACAGCCGTAGTCGTAATGTTTACAATGCTAGCTGATATAAATTAATTCATCTCCACTGAAGTAACTGATAGGCGTTCAGGATCTGGCCAATGAAGTGTGGCAAAAAGGATGTTTCATCAATCTCTGATTAATAATGCTTGTAACATTTATTGGAGTGAGATCTGGCATACACTCGACATTAGACAGGAATATTACAAGCCCCCTTCTTCCTTAATTGATGTCGGCACTGCAATAATGCCAAAGATGTTACAAAGGTACTATAGATCATCATGTTGCTTCCAACTGTCCAAGAATAAATAAGGCATTTGGACAGTGAAACATCTTTAGTCTGCAAAATAGATAATTGCCACGCATTTTAATTAGAAGTACTGTGTTAAGCCTGGTTTGAGTGATATCATTGAGCTAGGAAAAAAATTCACTAGTAGTAGCAGCTTGAGCACTTTAGATGTTCCTTTGTCAAGGTATAGGTGTGCAGACTCCAGTCTTAAGATGGCACCCATTCAACCTGAAAGCAGGCTTAGCATTTTCCCCATGTGCCAATTTCACAGTGAAGTTAACTTCTAATGCCAGGCCTTACCAAGATTCTGAAGCAGGTAATTTTTCCTGCGTGGAGTTGTGTGCATCCTGAAACAGAGGTGTAAACATAGATGTCTTAAAAATTACTGCCAGAAGCAAAATTTGTGAGGCCTGCTTTGATCTCAAGTTACTTTTCTGCATAAATCTGCTCTCTCGGAGCTGTCTTGCACTCAGTCCCTTTCAGATCTATTGTGCTACACGTTCCCTATAAATAAACTCTTGTTTATAAAAGAGAACAGAAGAATGTATTTCCTCCCCAAGCACACCACCCATGCTTTGAGTAGCTAACAGAACAAGGCTTTTGATGTACCGCACAGCTTCAGATACATAGCCTGCTTCAGCCTGATGCAAATTCACTTCTCTGTGGGCATCCAGTCCATATATGGAAGCTTTATGATCAATTTGGGTTGACTGTAAAACTGAAGGAACCAGGTGTTTCTTCATACAAAGCCATTATTTGATTTTATATGGCCATATTGACTTGAGAAGATCCAGCTTTTTTCTTTCTTTTAAAATAACAGAAGTGATCCTAAAGGTCTGGTCCACAAAACCACTTACTGCAGGGCACTCTTGTCAGATATCATACAAGTTTAGAACAAAAATCTGCCATGAAAACTTTGGCTTAACTCATTTATTTACTTATAAAACTGTTCATAAGCTGTTTGGGGGAGCGTAGACTATCCAAGGCAGCTTATGTATCATTAAGAAAAATGCTAACTTTTAAAAAGTGACAGTTTAAAAGCAGCAGCATGACAAGTATCTTAAAAAGAGGCCAGTTAAAAAATAAAACAGCAAAATAGAAATGGAATAGGTCTTTTTAATCACAGGCTTAATTAAGAAATGGCGGCCTGAAACTAATGGGGTTTAAGCCCCAGTTAAACATTTGAAAAGTTGGGGCCATTCTCTGTCCACTTACCCAAACCTTGCATGGTTCTATACACCTCTATCATGTGTCTTACTCACCTTTTCTCAAAACTAAAGAGGTGCAAATGTTGTAAACTTTCCTCATAGGGAAGTTGCTACACCCCGTTGCTCATTTGGGTTTCTCTTTTCTGAACCTTTCCCAACTCTGTAGTGAGAAGATGCATACAGTATTCCAGGTCCAGGTGCACGCTAGATTTGCATAGGTTTTGTTTTATATTCCTTTCTGTTATGAGTGGATGCTTCAAGTTCAGGCATGAGGAACCTGTGACCCTCCAGACAGTGTTGGGACTCCATCTCCCACCTTCCCCAGACAGTGCTGCCCCCAATGGCCAAGGACAATGAAATTTGTTGACCAACAACTTCTGCGGGGGCCACAGGTTTCCCCATCACTGCTCTTGTGCTTAGCATACCATCAATGTAATAAATCCCCCTTAGCCCAAATTGAAAAATAAGTCAATGGCAATGGTAGTTAAGAGTGGACACAACAGTTCTTGTAAGTTTATTTATATAGAGAACTTTGGGTCTGTAGATACATGTTTATCAACCTGGCCATGTGATCCTGTGAGGTCATCAGTGATGGCTTCCACTTGAATGACCAGAACAAAGTTGGATATAATGTAGGAAGCATGTGCTTTGAACCAGATGCAGCAAGCTTGTGAATCGCCTGGCACTATGATCGTGGTTAGCATCCCAGGATGGCTGCAACAGGTTGTTAATTTATAATAAGCAGTCACTGTGCATGGCATTCTAAAGAATTGCAGCAGAAAGGCAGGTCCTTGACCCAAGGGCCTTATAAGCCAAAGTTCAACAGGAAGGAAGGAAGACAGAAGGAAGATCTGGTTTCATTTGAGTTGCACACATGATGGCTTAGTTTCCATAGGGCAATAGGACTAAGGCATTGTGCCAAAGATGAGTTTGGGAAGGGATTTGACAGAAGGGAGAAAGTTGGATTTCTTTTTTTCCTTTCTTTTTAGAGACATAAAGCCCTAAGGGACAGCAAGAGGGAAAGGTCGTTTGAGAAAACATAAGGCTTTTGGAGCAGCCAAAGGTGCTTTATTTATTTGCATTCAGGCATAGGTCAGCAGTGGTCAAGCATTGCAGTGGACAGATACTGGAGGATATAGCAATGGCTTTAAAAAAAATAAACTTGAGGCAGGTTCCCATTGGTGCAAGCACTGTGCAAGGTATCCCACTTGTGCAATGGGATTTCTACCCTTTCCCAACCCCTGAAATTGCCTCTTGGGGTGTCAGGAGAGCCCTCAGAACAGCCAGGGGAAATCATTTCCCCCAGCACATTCACCATAGCACAATGTTATATTTTACCCTAGACAATCCCTGCAAGTGGGGAGTTTCCAGTGGTAATTTGGTTTCAAAAATGGAAGGGCCTTTTCTACACCAATATTGGTGCAGGTGTTTCTCTTGTTTCAGAGATGGGGGATACAAATTAATTTTTATCAAGTATGACAGATTGCCTGAGGCTACCTATAAGTTGCAGTGAAAATGACACAGTGGATTTCAGTTTATCCCAAAGAAGGGGGGAACCCATGTAATGCATGCTGGACAAAAAGCATATGGAAATAATTTGGGGAAAGGAGCCTTAGATCCTTTCAAAATCAATTGGGAAAGGCTGTAGAGCCAAGAGTGTTGTGTTGACATCACTTTATCCAGATGGCTGAGCCATGTCTGAGGGTACTTAGCAGATTGTGATACTTAGCTGCTCCAGGTGAATATCTCTTCAGTGCATTTTCACTAAAGATTAAGTGTGTGTGTAGCATCTGCAAAACAAACTGCTTTGTTATACAAAATGGACTTGAGAGACATGATAGGTGTGGAAGAACGTTTTAGAAAATAAACTGAAAATAGCATAAGATGATATTTAAAATAAAGGAAACAGTATTTCAGTAGTTTAAACAGGCTGCTCACAAAAGATGTCAATATATTATTACAGAATATTATTAAATGATGTCGGAATAATATTATTATTCTTTCTACGTCATTTCTCAATCCTGTGTGTCCCAGAGGCCGTACAAATAGATTGGATCTATCCCATTGGGTGGGATGAGGCCACTGCCTCAGGCAGCTGGAAGCCCCCAAGGTGGCACCCTTGTGGTGGAGAAGCAGCTCCCATGTCGGCAGTGGCAGGACAAGGCAGTACTTATTGTTTTGTCTCAAGCTGCAAAATGAGACATGCCACCCGTGGAACCAACCTCTCTGAAACACCTAGCTCTTCCAAAGCTCTGGCCCAATTGACATTGCTGCTGTTACATTGGAGGTGCCAAAAAATGGGTGTCCTAGGGGCATGTCATGGCTCCCAAGACCTCCCAGTCATCTTGACATGCCTTCACACCAGGGTTGGGGGATTCTGAGCAGGTCTAAACCTCTCCCTCCCTTTTTTCTCTCGTTGTTTCCAATAGGAGGGAAAGCATCAAAGCTATAAAATTTTTAACAGGCAAGCAGACTGAAGAATGCAAGATCATTCCTTCTTCCTCACTTGAACCTCGCCAGCTCAAATCTAGCAGGGCATAGGATAAGGCAGCTAAATCACCTTTGCATTTTGCTTTACCCCAACCTCCGTACAACTGCAGCCTTAGGAAACATTCATGCCAAGATGAAGGACCTGCAGAAGGCCTAAAGTTATGGCAGAGATTACTGTCTTGTCCGGATACCATCAGCTTACTTTCAGCAGTAGGACTTCACCTTATGGTTCTAGGCCCATTCTCTGCTCCATGGAAACTGTTTTTTATATAGTCAGTATTACAAGTAGCAGCTAAGAGGATGGGAATAACTTTAAATATTTGAAAAGCCTGTGTTCAGCAGTCAGGAAATGCATTCCCAAGGTTGCGAAGGGAGTTGAAGAGTTTATTAGTGGATTCATGGATGTAGCCACTTTTGCTTCCTGTATCATGTTCTTCTTCTGTAGATCAGAGCTATAACAAAGCTCCTGTGATAATGCAGTTTAAAACTACGAGCCTTTGATGATGTGCCCAACAGTGCAATAAGAGCTTAGTCCAATATCCTGAACTTTTTCTTTTTCTTTTTACGCCCACACTGCCCCTGAACTGATTTCAAATGGAAGTGAATCGAGCTGTGACTTTCTGAAGTTGCCAGAAGGTGGTCGCTTGTTCCGCAGAGATTTAACCACCCACTATGAACTACTTGCTGTTCTTTCTCGTTGCTAATGCACAGCAGGTTAGAGTTAGGTGATCCAGAGCCTTACTTTCAAGTAGCACTTACAGAAACGAAGCTCATGTCATGAATGGTTTTACATGAAGGGAACGCTAGATAAACGAGACTCACCTTTCTTCCTCTTCCCCCACAGGTAAATGGAAAAGATTTATCTAAAGCAACCCATGACCAAGCAGTAGAAGCCTTCAAAACAGCTAAAGATCCCATCGTAGTTCAGGTCCTGAGGAGAGCGCCGCGCAGCAAAATCTTCAGCCCCTCTCATGAATGTCTCCTGGTAGATATGGGCACCCAGACTGACATCACCTTTGAACACATCATGGCTCTTACCAAGATGAGCTCACCTACCCCACCAGTTTCAGTACTGGACCCATATCTCTTACCTGAGGAGTAAGTACCAGTATTTTAATCACACCTCTCTACATTAAAAGGCAGTAAACACTGAAGCATTGAAGCATTGGGTGGGGCTAGATTTCATACACTTGGGATGAAAATATACAACTACCATACATCATTATGAAGATCTAAACTGCCATTTTCAGGAGCAAAAACATTAGGACTGAAATATCTGCAAGATTTTATGCAACCATCCACTCTAATTCTTATGTTCAGTCTGTGAGTGCTATTGCCAAAGTGACATTGCCCAGACACAAGAAGGGGGTATCAGCAGACATGGGGGAACCAAGTACAAAAAAAAAAGAAAAGATTTAGGCAGGGGCACTCTAAGGAAGAAGGGAGGGACCCCTGTAGAACTGAGCATGCTCAATGGCCACAGAATGCTGACTGCAGGAAGGAAAAATGGAAAACTGGGATTAGGCAAATCCAGTGGCATGGAACACTCAGCACTGCCAATTTTTTCGTCTGTGTCTCACATGTTCAACCAATTCACGAAATGGTGAAATCAGTGCAGTAACTTTGACTGTTGAGAAATTGCAGGCCCATTGGCATTGTGAATGAGAAACCAAATGAACAAGACAGTGAAAAATAAAATGCTGTGAGCCTACCTGCTCACTTCTAAGTTTGCATGAGCAATTATGCCAAGTCTCTATATGCCTTTAGATGACGAGGAAAAGGCTGAGTGAACCCACAGATAAATAAAGAGTTTCTTAGAACTCTGGCCCGCAGCAATGGCTTTCCAGGGTCTCCGGCAAATAAATTTCCCAGGCCTGATGCCTTGGGTCTCCCAACTAGAAAAACCAAGGATTGGACCTGGGACCTTTTGGGCTGCAGGTCTTCCCCCTAAAATCTGGACTATGGCGTATGTGTCTGGCAGTGCTCTTTACTACCTGTTTACAGTGCTGCTGTTCAATCTTATCCGTTTTTTAATCGTGGCCATAAATTGTAGATTGCTAGGAGCCACTACATTCTCTTTCAGTGTATTAATTACCTTTTATTATAATCCCGTGGCAATGTTACACAAATAAGCTGTTCTGTAGGGCTGATCTTTCTTTAAAATGTTGTCAAGGAATTTTTAAAATCAATTTTTAATTACTGTTAATGGGAGTCTGAAACTTCTATACTAGCAAGTTATACATACACACACACACACACACACACACACACAACCCCTTTACTTATTTGCAAGTCCACCTATACTGATAGTACAGGAATCATTTTCTCCCACAACAAATGTGGAGTGCCGTTTGTGATGGAACTCTTCCCATCTTGTTCACAGAAACTGGCAATGACATTGCTGATAGGATGGTGCATGAGTGGTAAAAAGTGACGTCCACTTTTGTGCATGCACTGGCAATGAAATAAAAGCCAATGGAGCTTTGGATAGTGTTCTTGCTTCAACATGGTTTTAGCCTAAGAATGTGGCCACTCCCACTTGGATTCTTTTCACAGTGCTGGGAAGTGGCTGATGGGAGCTGTAGTCCAAAATATCTGTAGGGCATCAAGTTGGGGGAGGCTGATAGCAGAGTGAAGTGTCAGTAATTGCAGAGTACTGGGTAGCTTAGGCCCCCATCACAGGCAGAGACACTCCACTTCTGTACAGATCCCAACTGCTTGAGACTTCTGTGAATAAATCACCCATGCAGATAGAACAGTCACATGGGACCTTCAAATCTAGTCAGTACCCTCCCATAGCATGGGATCCCACTACATGGAAGGAGAGAGAGAGAGGAGTCCCAACTCTCCCATCAATATATAAACAAGAGTCCTGGCTCCTTACGACATCGCACATCAAGATGTCATGTTGGAGCCCCTCAATCTACTTGAGAAGATGGTTCTCAACATCTGGTATTCAGAAAGAAAGATAGAATCCTTGAACACAGAGACTCGTTTTCTTTTGTTATGGTGCCTAATGAATTTGCCTAGTTCTTTTTAACGTCATCTATAGCCGTCTCCATATCCCAACGAAGTGAATTCCAGATATATTGCTTCTTTTTGACAATTGTGGACCTGTTGACAGTCAATTTCACTGAGTTAACATCCCAAGTTCTCATATTTTGAAAGCGGAATTAAAACCTGGTTGCCCACTTCCTCTGCATATAAATATATATCCATTTAAAAAAAAAAAAAAACTTACATCATTATTAAAGAGAAAACATTATTTTCACAATCAGAAATCAGGCAAATGAGCATGTGCTACAAAGCTCGGGGTTGGGAAGGTGATATATTTGTGCAATTTCTGTCAGAGATTAGGCACCGGGGGTCATGTTCTCATGCTATTATTGTGCAGTATCCATATTGCTTTTCTGAGGACAGCTTTTTTTAAAAGAAAAAAGAATAATTATTAATTAAGTTACCATTCTTTTCTCACATGCTCACTGTGGTTCCCCTCCACCTCTGAGGCAGAGGGAATTGGAGGATGGATGTTGGCATATTTTCCTGTTCCTGAGGTGATAAGAGGGCGCGTGGAAAGGTGGTTGCTAGGAAACCAGCCTGTATGTTTCCCCCCTGAGTTTTCTCAGTGGAAGTAGTAGAAGTGTGGAGCCTGTGCTCAGGTGTAACATGGGAACCTATGACCACTACCCTGTATAATAAAATGCTTATTCTGCCATCCCTCTTTTTCTGGCCCTCATTTTTCCCCCTTCATGGGTCCATCATGCCACCCCCAAGCCTTACCTCCACAGCATTTTTTCATACCATCACCTGTCTTTGACAAATGTTCCCCTCTTTCTCTCTAGTGGGCCAGCTCTGCCTGGGTGGCCAATATGTTAAGGCAGCGAGAGAGTTTTTTAAAAAAATAAATATTTGTTTTCCCTGTTGTTTAATGAGCTTACATCCTCAACACCATTGATCACCTGCAGCGCATCAGTCTTGATGTATGTGTGACATGTTAGTGATGATCTGCCATGAGGCTGGGGGAGGATTAATATGTTAATTAGAAGAGGGAGTGATAACCTAAACTGTGCTTTATTTTCCCAGGCATTCATCAGGGCACGAATACTATGACCCAAATGATTATATGGGAGGCATTCATCAAGAAATGGACAGAGAGGAGCTAGAATTAGAGGTATGAGTAATAACTAGAAGCAACCATTCAACATACAAAATACTTTTATTATATTTTCATGTGCCAAGGACTTAGCAACTAGTGCTGCATTCAAATTACAAACTTATGCTACCAAAATATATTGGAAAATCTTTTTACTCTGCAATTCGGTGTACAGACGGCAGGAAATTAGTGCTTACTAATTTTAATATGTAGTTAATTATATGTTGTGTAATTAAAGGATTAGAGGTCATGTCCTCAGCTCATAATACAAGCAGCCATAGGTTTCTCCTTATCTGTTCTAGTTATACTTGTGAGGGGCTGAATAATAATTTGGGGAGATAAGGGTTTTATTTATACACTTTTTACAGTTTTGCATACATGGATTTTCATGTGGGAGCGCAGTATCAAAAGAGTAGTTTTATACCTGTGGTGGATTTCAAAGAGAAGCTTGTAGGGTTTTGTGTGTTTTTAATTCTTGAAGAAATGTTTACATCTGAAAGAAGCATGTCTTGCCTCCATTTGTTTACAGCAAAGTGCTTCTTTCTCCTCCATGGCTTGTTATTGTTCTCTCAAAGTCCCCAGTCAAGATGCTTCCCCTGCTATCATAGGCAACATAAATTCAAATCATAAGTTTAGTAAAAAGTACAAAAGTAGAGCAATGAAATATATTTTAAAAAGACAAATTACAGAAATATCATGTGTCTCATTTAGTTTGAGCAAAATCATGGGGCTGGATCCAGAGGTCACACTTTCGCCTCATGGAATTCAAGCTTTGACTAACTTGCTGCACGGATTTGAATGAAATTTAAGAATGACTAGCTTAATCTGTCTCCAGCTTCATGATTTTGCTCAAACTGCCACCCACTAAAAGACCTCTAGCTCCCACCCTGTACACATACAGATAAACAAGGAAGGGGGAAGTACAAAGTCACTTGGGCTCATCATTCTAGAAGATAATGCTGAGGTAAATGCTGCTCCAAACCACTGTGAAAATCCCAAAGCAGGGGTCCAGATTAACTGCCCGTTCCTGCTGAATTCTTACCCCACAAACCCTTACATACAGAAGGTGGTTTTCTGAAAAGCAACAACTGCGATCCAAAAAAGTGTTTCCTTTGCCCTCCCCCGCTAGAGGACAGGGAACTCAACTCAGGCAGTCTGCAGCCATTGCTGAAAGGAGCTGGGCAACAAACTGTTGCTGCTATCACTGCTCAAAGTGTCAGACAGGTTAAGCTGGCAGCTGTGTCCACATGTGCTCTTGCCAGCCAGTAACTATAGCGCGTGCGACTCAAATCATTTCATGGCATTTTATAATTTTGACATAAAGAGAGCACTTAGATTGTTAAAATAATAAAGCTGTGTAACAGTACCAGCTAAACATTTAGGAAATGCTTGCAGCTTAAATAGCCGTTCTCTGAAAGCCTTTAAGAATCGTTTCAAACCTGGGAGACTGAGATCAATGGAAAGGGTCAAAGTGTAACAAACACTCGGGCAGCTTCTAGCTGTATTGTTTGCTTATTGACAGATTTGTCTTAAACAGACTGCAGACGCACTTTTTCATTGACTCGAGTCAGAATGCTGAAAAGGATGTAAAATATCAAACCACACCACCTGGACTACTCTCTCCATAAAATACACTCTGAATTCCAGTCCATCATCTAGGCTTTTATGGCCATCCTAACTCACAATTAATGACTTAACAGATATAGTCAACAAGTCCCCTGTGTAAATGACTATAGTTCTTGCTAGAATTCAATGAAACGCAGTAGAATTGCCTAGCAATCTGTACAGGCTGATATTAGTCACAAGAATTGAGTATCTGCCAAGAACAGGCCATTGAAGGCCTTTAAGTTCAGTATCTGAAACTGGCATCTGGTGTTACAAGGAATGCAGCCCCCAGCATATTACACAGCCTCTCTTAAAGCTCAAACCAAAAAATAATAAAAGAACAATGTCATGGCAGCATATCAACGGTTTTCTAAATTGCAACTCTTACTCTGAAGCTTTAATTGGGCCCATTTCTTATGTATCCATGTTGGTACATATATGAGCCATAAAGCCGTTTAAAAATGATCAAGGCAAGAAATAAATAATATTGCCTCTACATACTTTCTAAAACAGCCACCACAAATACAAGTAGATTTCCATGTTGTTTCAACATACAGGGTAGGGTTGTTAAAGGGTTCACATACAGACAGTTTAGTAATCTCCTAACAGATACCATGATAACAAAAAGCAGTTAAAGTGACTGATTCTTCTAAGAGGTAGGATATCATTAAATGCATTACTGCAGATGAACCTTAGAACATGTACCTTGTCTAGAGCACCAAACACACACAAAAATGTGAGAGCAGTAAAAGTACAGGTCAATCCATCCTTACCAGCCTGATTTTGGGAATGATTTCTCAAAACTAAATTTAGCTGAATTCAGTGGGATTTATTTGCAAAAAGTGTGCACCTGATAGTGGTTTAGCTTCATTTCAAGAAGAGTGGTGACTGATAAGCTTTTTCAGATAGCTCAGTTGGTAGAGCATGAAACTCTTCATCTCAGAGATTGAGTCCCACGTTGGGCAAAAGAATCCTGTATCCAAGTCTATGAGTCTATGTAAAATGCTCAACAAAACTGGACATAGCTGACTTTCTAGGATCCTGGTTTTTACAGTTAAATCTCTGCTGACTGTAGGGAAGCCCATTGGACACAGATTTGATGTCTGTCATTAGGATTTGCTTTCTGACAAAACTGAGGGAAGCATCCAAGCTCCTTATCTTATAGCCCCACTTACTCCAGAGAATTTTATTTCCAATACAAGTACGTATTTTGAAAAGACTGGCTCCGTGTTTCTAAAGTTTTAACCTGCCCCTATAACAGAAGATTGCCTGCAACACAATATAATAATCTGTTGGGCACAAATTTCCGTTTGCATATACAGAGGCTAATTTACTATTATCTTTTATTTTGAAACCTTAGTGTTATGAATGGCCAGAGGCATATAATATCATAGCACATTATGGTATTCTTGTCTCACTGTAAATGGCACTTATATTTCAGCATTCAGGTTGTTTAGCTTTCTTTATCTGCCACCAGTTGGCGTAGGGCCTGAATAATTTTATGTAATTGTCTTGCATCCATTTCAGTTTCAGAGATCTCATATCTGCACATGCTTTGGTTTTATCGGAGCTCTATATAAGAAAAGGGTAATCTACATCTCAAAAAGTTATGCTAATGCTTACTCATGACACTTATAATATGTATCCTCTTTAGATCATTCCTGACTTCTAAGACAATTAGGGTACAATCATCCTTCACAGTGGCTGCACATCCTCCTTTCGCTTCAGTGGGCCTACAACGGATCTCTGTGCATATTCTAAATTATAATTGCATAATGCACAACATTACTCTGGCGCTGTTGGTTGCTGCTGTCACATGTATTGATGTGAAGAGATGTTCAGGATCCAGATGTGAGACATCTAACTATATCTGCAGTGACTGTTCACTCAAGTCCTATTTGTGCTCCTTTTACAAGCCCACTTCTACTTGTGGCCTTTGTGCCGGTCACTATTTGTTCAAGTAGAAGTTATTCTAGTAGTTGTATAATTTCTTGGTCCATAATACATGGAATATCTGCACACCTTACCATGTTAACCAAAATACGTTATTACTTTTTGAGAAGCAAGTAGAGGTCCGTGAATTATACTGTGTGATGGGAATGAAGACCCTAGTACTTGTAGGGTGTGCTATTATTTTTTGCTTAAGCAAAGTACTCTGTTCCAAAAAGTACTCTGAAAATTAAAAAGGTTCTTTGCTTTGATGCTTTTAAAATTTATAGAGTTGATGTCCATAAAATCTTTTGAAGCTTTATGATTACATAAAAACTTTATTGAGGCATAGGCAGCTAGGAAACAGCTGTTCTTCTTTCTGTGTACACAAAATTACCATATCTAGGGTAGCATCAAATCCCAGTTATTTCTACTTCTAACCAGGGCTGGGGGGATAGAACCCAAGGGTAAGTCTACATCTAATTACTCATAAAAATTCAGGTACCAAACACCTGCTCTGAGGCTATTCTGAAGGGAATTTTTTACAAAGACCATTTGCCTGAGCACGGTTTCCTCAGATGTGTGTGTGTATTTCGGATATTTCTCAAGTGGCTTCCCCGCATACAATATATCCCAAACAGGAGATGTGGAATGAAGCGTTCTGGCTTTGAAGCATATTGAAAAGCTCAAGCTCTCTGCTGAAATACTAGAGAATGAAAAGCAAAAGCATGAAATATTAAAAGCTTCTTTGAAACATAAAACATAGAACATCTTTGAAACATAAAACTTGATCTCAGTCCTAAAACATATTTCTTGATTGATCCACATGATTATGATTAGATTAGATTCAGATTGTGTTTATCGTATACTGACGTTGCTCAGAATTCAAAAAAATCAGTGCAGGATTGAATTCGGTTGTTCAAATCAGTGCAATCCGTTTCAGTTATGCAAACCTAAATTTACGGTATGCACTTGAACCCCTCTCACAAAATAATGGCAGTCTGGAGGCACCCAGTGTGTTGGTAGAGTGCGGGGCTCTCTTTGGGTGAAAGACAATGGGGGAGAGTGGGCTGCTCCAGGACTAAGAGGAGTGGGAACTATTGGTGAGGCCACTTGCTTGTCTTAGTCTTCACCCAGGTATTTTGGTAAATCAGATTTTTTTTCATTTCATGTTCATCTAATTCTGCTCCAAATTCAAAAGTTATGAATTTTTCCTTAAGAAAAAAAAAAGCCCAAACTTTAAAGATATCAGACACAAAAGCCTCTGCTGGACCTATTTGTCTGCTCTGCAGGGGCTGTTATGTCTGCAAATTTCATCTATTCTGTCAAAAGTAAAAAAGTTATAGCCACTTTTTAAAGTTTCCCTGCAGTGAATGGGGGACAAAAGAAGTTGACTGGTGGGTGTTGAGCTGAATCATGGAGCCCCAAGGGCTGCTTTGCCTCACGCTCACAATTCCTTGCTTTCATGGGCGTTCCAGACTTAAAGCTCCCCCATTCACTTATAAACATAGAATTGCAGAGATGGAAGGGACCTTGAGGGTCATCTATCCAGACCTCCTTCAATTCAGGAGTTCAGCGGAGGGAGTACCTATGAATACACAGAATACATGAATTCTCCATTGTACTGTGCAGAAGGAGTTATTCTGCAGAGTCATGTTGGTGCCATAGCACCTTGCCTAAAGTAACTTGAAAATAGCTTTTTGAAGCAAGATGTCTGCTCCTTAAAATATGTCCTTGCATATTGTGAAAGCAAAGTGAGAAACTGACTGTGCCACGTGGCTTCTATGGCATCCAGAGTGGCTTGCAACAATATCAGTGGTACCTCTGGTTAATAACTTAATTCGTTCCAGAGGTCTGTTCTTAATCTGAAACCATTCTTAGCCTGAGGTACCACTTTAGCTAATGGGCCTCCCACTGCCACCGCGCCACTGGTTCACGATTTCTGTTCTCATCCTGAGGTAAAGTTCTTAACCCGAGGTACTACTTCTGGGTTAGCGGAGTCTGTAACCCGAGGTGTTTGTAACCTGAGGTACCACTGTAATAGAGGAATCACTGACTTACAGGACATTTAGAGGGCAAGATTTAATGAAACCCAGAAGTGCCAACTCCTGACTTTGCCCCACCATTTATTTAATTCTTTAATTGCATTTATATTAGGGTTGCCATATTTCAAAATGTAAAAACCTGCCGAGTAGGGATTTGAACCCTGCTCTCCTAGTCTGACACTCTGTGGCCAAATCATGCCCCCCCCCCCCCGTCTTCTACAAGCAAAACCTAAAGAGCCCCTGCCTCCCTCCCTCCAAGTAATGTTAGCTGCTTATTAAGAAGGGGTAAAAGATTTATCCTGTCCATGCTGCAGACAAGATGGTGAGTGGTGCCATTTACCAGGCACATATCGCACCCATGATCAGGGATCTGTAACTTGTTTTTGTTTTGTTTTTTAAAGGAAAAGGCAGTAACTTTCCTAAACATAAATTAGAGCCAGAGTTTACTGACTTCATTTCCATTTGCTTGATGAAACCTAAAGTACTGACCCCAGCAACTGTACTTGGCTGACATTATCTAATCTTCCTTATTGATCAGCTTCAATCCTCTTTTCAAAAAAAAATAATGGCAGAGCCTTAGAAATATGGAAAACTTCTGCCATTATACTGATGCGTTCAACCTTTCTGTAACAAAAGAAAGCACGATGAGAGAGTGTGGAGCCATTCACAATAGTGCCTATTGATTGAAAATCATTTAAATACCATCTGAAATGTCACTGACATTTACTGCTCTGTTTTTTTCAAAACAAATTACACATGTTGACAAGTAAATAACAAGAGATTGCTTATCGTGGCAGCTGTCATCTAGACATGCCAATAAATTATTCATATTGGTGAGTTTTATTGTCTTCCCCCGGTGAATGGCACCGCGGGTTGAAATTGAGAGATGCTCAGAGGCAAGACTATTATGTTATTAGGACTTTTAATGCATTAATACCAGGAGGAAGAAGCCAGCAATCTCTCTTTCAATCGGAACACAGGGTGTGTTTTTCCCCTTTGCCTCACAAACGTGGGAATTTTTAAATAGCTTCCAAGCTCATTATTACAGCACTGTCTGTGTACTGCCAGCTTAGTCGAATACTTAAAGCAGTTCTAAGCAATGAGTAACCAAAGACTTGGGGCGCTAGGTATCCTGCAAAGTATTAAGCTGTCATTTTAGTCTAGTTTATCCAGAGATCCAAAGGACTATGTAAAAAAAACGTTGGTTGTTAATTGTCGCAAATTAGTAATATTGTTTTGGAAACTGTGAATTCCCTTTCAATTTCCTTATTCCGAATCCCCTCATTTGGGGGAAGTTCCGGCTTTTGAAGCCAAATGTGACTGTGCAGTTGCCCACTTACATATATGTTGAATTTGATAGTGCTGTGGCCATTGTCCCCAGTTCTTTAAACAACGCCTCTCACACCAAGTTCCCTTTAAGATCAAGGCTGGAATCCTAGCCATGTTTATGATTGGCTGTTGATGATTTGGGGAGGTTGGGGAAGGGTTAGAGGGATTTTTAGGGGATAGGCATTGCTCACCCCACTTAACTATTTGCGTGATACAGGCAGCATGGGAGTTAGCAGGTTTGAAACTGTGGTGCCCACTTGGAGAGGGAGATTGGAGCATTTGGTTTTCAAAGATGAGGGATGAGATGCAAATTTCATATGATATGATGGGTGATACTTTTGAAGCATACAGTCGTATCTTAGTTCACAAAAGCCTTTTGAGTCTGACGTTTTGGCTCCTGAATGCTGCAAACCCAGAAGCAAGTGTTTGCAAACGTTCTTTGGAACCCGAATGCCTTCCACGGCTTCTGACTGAGTGCAGGAAGCTCCTGCAGCTAATCGGAAGACGTGCCTTGGTTTTCGAACATTTTCGGAAGTCGAACAGACTGCTGGAACACATTCCGTTCGAGAACCAAGGTACAACTGTATTTACATTTGATTGTAGAGGTCTGGAAAACTCTTCAAAGTAGGTTTAACCCCCACCCCCACCCCACCCCCCAAAAAGGTATATAAAAGAGCATCCTGAGGCCTACCAAAGTACTAAACCAGTATTCCACAACTTCATCCTCTCCAGTTATTTTAGACTACAATTCCCATCATCCCTGACCCATAGGTCATGCTGGCAGGGGCTAATGAGAATTATAGTCCATATGGAGGGTACTAGGAAAACCACAGGCACGTCAGAATTCAGCTCATCAGTATTTGGATGGCACAATACTCATTATCTGCATTGGGTGCAGAATTTCACCACTCTGTGCTGAATTTTGACAATACAAAGGTATGACATTTAAATGGCAAAGCACGCTCAAGCTGTAGAAAGCCATTAAGCCATTTTTTATGATACTGCTGACTTTGTTACTTTGTTACTTTGAGACTAAAAGTTAAGGTTGTATCCAATATTAATCCTACTTAAAGTAGACCTCCTGGAATTAATAATTGTAAATTAGTCATTCAGTTGATACGATGAATTTTGTTTGATAACACCTTATAAATTGCTCTGCTATCATTTTTGGTGAAAGGTGGTCTAGAAGTCAATAACAATAACGTGTGTAGTTTATAAATTAATCTCCCTATTTCATGCAACTAAGATTAGAAAGAAACAGCTTTTGACTTCCTCACTACCTTGCTGCAGGCCACTTTTTCACAGACCATGAAACAACTTCCATCTCAAGAACAATGAAAGGTTGTAATCTGTGCCAACCTTGTTTTCTCAGTGCAACACTAACACTAATGTTTTCACTCGCCCAGCCTTGTATGTGCCTTTATGGGGATGTAGTCATGGCTAACTTTGCCTTGAAGTATTTGGATTAGAGACTATTCCAGAATTGCATTGCACTAGTCTAGAGAATGCTAAAATGTGATTAGAGAACAAACAGCATCTCCCATTACAGAAATGCATAGATTTAGCATTTATTTATCAATCTTTATCTCTTTGCGCTAATGATGTTACTGTTCCTAGGGTGTTGGAAATGTAGGAAGACTTTGGTTCCAAAGACTCACTTGACAAATATTATAGTGGAGGCACTAAAAATGGGGGGGGGGGGTTGCCACTTCATAAGAGATGGACCATTTTTCTTCTATATGATCAATAAGAGAGTCTTATTTCCAAAACGACTGCATATTGATAGAAGAGCCAGAATTGCCCTCTGTATTGATCGTGTGTCCATAATCACTTCTAGTTCAGTAAATTAACATAGTGCAATCTTTTAAAAACAGAAACTATAATGTAAGCAAAATATTTCCACATATTTAAAAAAAACCAGACATTCACCAGCGTCTCATTTCTTTGCCCTAGGAAGTAGATTTGCATCGAGTGAACAGCCAGGACAAGTTTGGGCTTACAGTGTGCTACAGAACTGATGATGAAGATGATATTGGCATTTATATCAGTGAGGTGAGACCAAATATAATGCCTGCCTTTTGGCTGTAGTTGTGAAAAAGTCATTTCCCCCCTGTCAGTTACATTTCATGTTACTTGCAAAAGCAAGTTTTAATGTAACATCAAACAATTTTCCTACATTTCAGGCACCTATTTCTGTTCTTTTAAGATCAACATTAGAAGACCTATTCCAGATGTACCCACTTTCAGATGAGTGGCGACCAGAGAGTTGGTGGTTCCAGTCGTGAACATAGGGAACATAAGATGCTGCCTTGTATTAAATCTGACCATTGATTGGCCCATCTAGACCAGTATTGTTTACATTGACCTTTCTTAAGACTGGTAACCTCCAGATGTTGTTGGATTGTCATTGCCATAATCCTTGGCTGTCTGGGGCTGGGGGGCTTGTACAAAACATCTGGAGGGCACCAGGTCTACATTGACTGGCAGCTGCACTTTAGGGTTTCAGGCGGGAATCTTCCCCACCTGTACCTAGAGATGCCGGAGATGGGACCTAGGACCTCTTGCATGCAAATCATATGTTTCCTAGTAAAATACTGCAGTGTTTCTTTCTCAGGTCGGGGAACCTTCTTCAGCCCAAGTGTAACTTTCCCCTCAGGGCAAATTTCTGGGGGTGACATGCATATGTGGGCAGGGCCACAGGCAAATAATGTGGGCAAAGCAATAAATGTAAATTGTATGTTTGTGCCGTAGGCTAGTTTCTTCACACTCACACACCCCTCTCTATCCTCTACCCAGACCAGCAAGAATTATTAGAGGACTCATTCCACCTAGGCAAAAACACTCAACGAGAGTCCAAAGCTGGGTGGAGGGGCATGGTTCAAGAGGGTGTGGGGCTTGGGGGCAGGTAGAAAGGCCTGGGGGCAGCATTTGAGCCCCGGGTCTGCGGTTCCCCATCCATGTCTAAGAGAAACAAGAAGGATTGTGAACTATGTGTAAAGGCAATCTCAGATAACATGCCAGTGGTTGGAAGTACGCAGGGAAGCAATGCTGCAAAAAGTAGCCAACTTTCTGCTCTTTTGTAGATTGATCCCAACAGCATTGCTGCAAAAGATGGTCGCATCAGAGAGGGTGATCGTATAATTCAAGTGAGTTTATGTTATGTGAAATCCTATTACAGTTTCTTCAGTTATCCTATTATGTGACATTTCCAACAGATGAGCCACTGTGGTGTAGTAGTTAGTGTCTCAGACTAGAACCTGGGAGACCAGGGTTTGAATCCCCACTCTGCCATGAAACTTGCTGGGTGACCTTGGGCCAGTCACTGCCTCTCACCCTAACCCGCCTCACAGGATTGTTGTGCGGATTAAATGAGGAGCAGGGAGAAGCATGTCAGGCACCTTGAAGTCCTTGCAGGGAGGAAGGTGGTCTATAAATGCAGTAAGTAGAATAAAATATATAAGAAAATGTATTTCAAAAGTCCCCAGTATAAATATTCCCCCAAATAAGTCTTTTGATGAAATACCTGAAGGCCAGATGCTCGCAGTTTAGGGCAAATGCAGTTTACTTTCATAGATCAGCCATGAAAGCCAAAGTGTTGCCTGACAGCATTATGTTTGTGAGAAACTACCAATGGGGACAGTTCAACAGTCTCTGAACACTGGCGTAATGTTATTGAATTTGCCATCATATAGCGCTTTTAGCAGGCAAAGAGATTTATCATCTTTATTTTATTCAGCCTCAAAACAGCCCTGTGAATCCCAGTTGTCACATTACTTTCTGATGCTGTAAAGTTTATGTGGCAGGAGCAGGTATTTATCTTGCCAGGGCAAAGTTTTAAATACTAGAGCCTGCCCTGCCTTGGAAAAAAGCAGCACTCTCTATGTGATGAGGCACTTAAAATGAGTTGCCAATCAAAACTGTTGATTTAAAGTTACATGTTGTGCCAAATCCCTACCATGCCCCCAGCCCATTTCATGGAAACCTTTACCCTCAGAGAAAGCAGTCTATGTTTTTCAGCTTCATCTAACATTTTTTTTGGGGGGGGTAGGGAATCTATTTAAAGGAAATCAAATCATCCAGAGCACTTCAGTGCTGTGCAGGAAGAATCCTGGCAAGCCACACTCCTTCAAAAGCCTAATGGAGGCAATACTGATTTAGAGTTGTATCCAACAAAGTTGTCCAGTTCTCACCTCTATCTCCCCACATCCAAGCCAAATCTGCATTGGAGGGTTGGGGGAACCTCCAGAACAGATTTGGGGTACACACAGGGAGAAGGACTTCCATTGCACAAGGAGAAGTTCTTGCATGAACAGGATGACTTCATTGGATACAACCCCAAACATTCTCATAATAGGCATTTCAAGGAAGCATGAGATGTTGAGAAGCTGGTATGAATGAATGAAGCTTTAAATTAAGACCACACACCATTTGTCCACTTCATAATGGCCACTGTACTTCCTTCCCCCACCCCAAAATAACAAGTGATCTATTTTCTAAGGTCATTTCTTTGGAAATAACTGGGCAAAAATAACTGCCACAGCATTAGTTAGAGTAGGTGCTTGGTGACCTCTTTACATAAAAAGTATCTCTGAGAGTTGGGTGTGAATCATTTCCAGTGAGTCTGAAGGGCACTGACCTTGGTCAAGGCAGGCCAGAGGCTTTATGGGTGAACTTAGAATTGAAGTCATGACTCTGACATGAGGCTTTCATTCATTTCAGTGCAGCTGGTTCTGAAGAATACTCCATAAGAGGCAAATGTGTCTAAACCCAGACTAAAATTCTCTGCATAGAGTTGCATGGTTTTTAAAAATATAAGTGTACTTCACATATAATTTCTGAGTTCTTTCTTTTGGATTTCTATATAATGGGATTTGAATTTCTTTCTCCAGATTAATGGCATAGAGATACAGAATCGCGAAGAAGCTGTGGCACTCCTTACCAGTGAAGAAAGCAAGAACGTTTCCTTGCTCATAGCAAGGCCAGAAATTCTCCAGGTGCTGCAACTGATTATTATTAGTTATTGTTTATACAGCACCATCAATGGGCATTGTGCTTTATAGAGCACGATGCTTCCAACAGTTGAGGGTGGTAGAGCTGGGTGAGTGAAGGTACCGGTAGAGATTTATCAACATATGAGAGCAGAGAAGCTAGGAAGGGTGAGGCTACTGAGGGCAAGGACATGGTGCTAGAGTTGCAAGCAAACAGCACCTTCAGATAGTGTGTCCCCGGCCCTGTCTGACATGTTACTACACAGGATTCAGAATAAACTATCTGGCATAGTGCTGATTATTGTGCAAAACTGCACCCATGCGCCCTCACTATGTCCCAATCTCACTCATCCAGCATTAGCTAGCTATGTGCTGCAATAGTCCAGCTGTAGACTTGACCAGTGTTGAACAGAGTGATTGTCCGGGGTGGATGGGGGATTGGCATTGACCTCCCAGCAGTGAAGTTGCTGCTGCTTACTGGGAGGAAGAGTGGGAGGGGCAAGGCAGTGAGGAGGTTGGCACTGTGCAACTCGCCAGCGGGGCCAGTGCAGTGCTGCTGCCAATGCATTTGCACAGCGCTAACCTCCCCACCGCTTTCCCCTCCCAAGTTCCCTCCCGGTAAGCGGCAGTGACTCTGCGCCCGGGAGGTCAGGTAAGCATCACCACCCCACTGGCGAAAGCACCCATGCCTTGTACATCATGCTGTTTTTAGCAAGCCAAAATTATTGCCTGTTTTATGGTAGTGCTGCATTACTATTGCATGCATGCAGTTCCCAACGCATCTGGATTCTTTAACTCACCAACAGATCTGTTTCTAGGAATTAACAAGGGTGGAGGAAATTATTTTCCCATCACATAATGCATTGTGCTTTCTGTCAGGAACTGGAATATCCTTCTGCACTTCAGATTCACGTCAGGCAAGGAAGGAAGCACAACTCGTATGCTGAGGTTCTTACAAGTTGTGCATGAAATAAGTCAGATTCCCAGAAAAGCAGTTCTTAAGTTCCCTTTATTTATTGAGTCACATCCGCATAGCAATATTCAGTGCATTTGTTTTGTATTTCTTCTCCTTGTAGCTGGATGAAGGATGGATGGATGATGACAGAAATGATTTTCTGGATGATTTACACATGGACATGCTGGAGGAACAGCACCATCAGGCAATGCAGTTTACTGCCAGCATGCTTCAGCAGGTAAATGTCATTGTACTTTGTTAGGTGAAATACCTTATTGTCAAACCAAAGTCATGCTGTTCCCTGGCTCTTATTTAAGCATTGCATTAAACATTTCTTACATATGCTGTGAGCCCTTCCTAGGATGGAAAAGAACAGCTGTCTCTGAATAAGAATAACTGACAAGAGAACATCCTACAATTGTTGAATTTCTTCACTGCACCCTCATTACTTAAAGGACTGCCCACACCTGCACTCAGTTTCTTTTTGAGCACTGTCCATTTTATGTATGTGGTTAAGATTCTGCTTTTCCACCTGTCCCAAACATCTTACAATGTATCATTAATCCCTTTGGTCTTCCAACCCAACCGCTTATCCTGAGTGACGGGGAAACTGTATAAGGGCATCCACTAAACACCATAGGACAGTGCTGTCCACTGAGTCAGACCACTGGTCAATTTAGTTCATGACTGTCTGCACTCACCAGTAGCAGCATTCCAGCCAAGGGACATTCCCAGCCCTCAATGGAAATGCTAGGGGTTGAAACTCAGCCCTTCTGCATGCCAAGCAGGTGATCTGACACTGAGCTACAGCTTTCCACATTTCTTCACAGGGATTTGAATTAAGGTCTTCTGATCCAACATTCCTCAAATGCAGAAAAAATAGCAAACTCCAAATGTTATAAATTTGTTTTATTTTATGCGTTGAATAGTGTTTCGGGTTCTTTTGGAAATCTGGTCCGAATAATAGATTCTTAAAAATTGGGGAGGAGGGGAGAATACACCCGAGATCGATCCAAAAAGTATATCACCATCTGAACTATGCATTTCCTAGGTAAAAAATGAAATTTCCACTCCTAAGTAAAACTAAAAGAAGCACCTTTCCTGCAAAAACTCATTATTAGTGTTCCTCGTGAGATGTTCCAAGTGGACCATACCTATTTCATCTATAAGGATTAGGAGAGTGTGTGTGTGTGTGTGTGTGTGTGTGTGTGTGTGCAATTTATAGAAGAAAATCTGTAGAAGAAAATTCTGCAAATAGGGAGAAGAAAATTAGTCTGCCTATTATATTTATTTGCATTTTTTTCTTAACGAATGTACTTTTTCTTGATGACTTTAGAAGAAGAAAAATGAAGAGGATGGAGGCACCACAGATACTGCCACCATTTTATCAAACCAACATGAGAAAGACAGTGGCGTAGGGCGCACCGATGAAAGCACTCGGAACGACGAAAGCTCGGAGCAGGAGAACAATGCCGACGACCACACGACTTCCTCAAACACCCTGGGGAGCCAGAAGAAGCTGACCTACAGCCACGACACGCTGGGCAGCGGGGACATGCAGTTCAGCAACGAGTCGTTCATTTCCGCCGACTGCGCCGACGCCGACTTCCTTGGCATCCCGGTGGACGAGTGTGAGAGGTTCCGTGAGCTGCTGGAACTGAAGTGCCAGGTGAAGTCCACCAACCCGTACGGCCTGTACTACCACAACAGCACTCTGGATATGAGCAAGAGTGACCACGAAAGCGTGGACCGGGAGCTGGAGATGCTGAACGAGGAGCTGCGCAACATCGAGCTGGAGTGCCTCAACATCGTGAGGGCCCACAAGATGCAGCAGTTGAAGGAGCAGTACCGAGAGCCGTGGATGCTGCACAACAGCGGCTTCCGCAACTACAACACAAGCATTGATGTCCGCCGGCATGAGCTCTCGGATATCACCGAACTGCCAGAGAAATCGGACAAGGACAGCTCCAGCGCTTACAATACAGGGGAAAGTTGCCGGAGCACGCCTCTCACCCTGGAGATCTCCCCCAACAACTCTCTGTGCAGGACAGCAGAAGATCTCAATTTGCAAGTCAGCGAAGGAGCAGAAGGGTCTCAGAAAAATTTGATGTCTAGCCCAGAAAGTCATGAATATGGCACAGCTAAAGCTCACCCCAAAGATGCTGAGCAGCTGGAAATCAAAGAGAGGAAAGAGAGCGACGGAAGCAAAAGCCCAGCTCAGCCCCCCAAACCAGGCAGCTCCTACTTATCTCCCTATCACCACTCTCCGTATAAACATGCGCACATCCCTGCCCATGCCCAGCACTACCAGAGCTACATGCAGTTGATACAGCAGAAGTCAGCCGTGGAGTACGCGCAGAGCCAAATGAGCTTAGTGAGCATGTGCAAAGACTTGAACTCTTCCAACCAGAGCGAGCCCAGGATGGAATGGAAAGTCAAAGTCAGGAGCGACGGGACCCGTTACATCACCAAGAGACCTGTGCGGGACAGGTTGCTGAGAGAGCGTGCCATAAAGATCAAGGAAGAGCGCAGTGGCATGACGACGGACGATGATGCCATCAGCGAAATGAAGATGGGCCGTTACTGGAGCAAGGAGGAGCGGAAGCAGCACGTCGTGAAAGCCAAGGAGCAGAGGAAAAGGCGCGAGTTTATGATGCAGAGCAGGTTAGAGTGCTTAAAGGAACAGCAGGGGGCCGAAGAGAAGAAGGAAATGAATATCATAGAACTGAGCCACAAAAAAATGATGAAGAAAAGGAATAAAAAGATATTTGACAATTGGATGACAATCCAAGAACTGCTGACCCATGGCACAAAGTCACCCGACGGCACAAAAGTTTACAACAACTTCCTGTCGGTGACTACTGTATAATCTTCCGGTGCCAAAGTTGTGTACATAAAACCCTACCGATGGGGTAGAGATTCCTGCCTCGTTAAATGTGGCAACGCTCCCTCTCTTTTATTGTAAATAAAAGACACGTTCATTGGCTTTATACTTCAAATACTGAACTCTGGGTGCAAAGGAGGAGAGAAAGAGTCATCCACCCAAAATCTCTTTTAAGGCAATACGGAACAGACAGACCTTATTTGGAATACCAATAGTACCTTTTTTTGTAACGTGTTACACTTTTACATAAGATGTTTTAAATAACAGGAAAAGCATATTAATCATTACTTACACAGGTAATATCTTTTTAAACTATATTCATATTTTAAAAAGGTTACACATGCAGAAACTCAAAAGACAACTTCAAATATGTATTTTTAACAAAGCAGTATTTTGCAATATATCTTTGCTATTGTGCCCTTTTTCTGCACAAGTTTCTGTTTTATCAATATTTTAGCTGAACTACCAAACTCTTGATAGAATCATTTTGCAGTAATGTACACGATTTCTCAAACCAGTTGTGTCTTTGGGGTTGTGCACTCATACTGCTTTGCTCTATGGCACAGCATGCATGCCCAATTTGTGACCTACCAAGCCCAGTGCAGACCACTAGCCAGATAGTGGGATCTGTCCTGTGCTCAGTAATGCACTCTGGGTGGGCTGTTTGGCAAGTCGCAAGTTGTAACGGTCTCTGTGTTGTGACTGCTGTGAATGTCTGGGTAGCTGTAGCCCTCTTGCAGGGGGGCGAAGAGTGGTGGGAAACAGCAGAGGCAGCCCACTACCACAGCAGTTTGGGGACCGAAGACAACTAGGCACTACACTAAGCGCATTATGCACACAACCCCTTAAGAGTCCTGGCTAAGAGCTACACACTTTTCTTTTCTTTCTTTGCGGTTTCTGAAGGAAGTATGTAGGTATCACTTGAAAGAGCAGAAGCAAACTGCTGCATGGTGCAGCCCTGAAACACTTTGAAGCAAGTTTGCCAAGGCTGTGGGCCTGTTGGAAGAATGTGCATGTGTGTCCAATGTTTTTACAAGGCCGTTTTGTGTAATTTGAAATGCCCATTGTAGTAGCTGTCTGCTTTGTAGATTTGAATGTATTGAAATTGAAAGCAGTTTTCATGAAATCATGACTAGTTATAAACATTAACAAGTAAATGAAGTTAAAAAAATAAATTATTGTTTTATATTTCATATCCTTTGGCTTTTTTTTTTAACTTTGACCACCTTTACCACAATGCCTTGTGTAAGCTGCATTGTTAGAAATTAGGTTTATCTGGCTGAACGGATTGGATTACCGAAACTGAGTTTATTTTAGGACAGGTATGGATAGCAAGCAGGCTGATGGCAGAAATTCAGCTCCTGAGGCCCCCGTGCTTAGAATCACCCTTGTGGATTAGTTGGAAGAAAGGTTTTCTAATCTACATAATTGCAAAGAATGAAGCAGCCTTTTTCAGAGAACAAAACTTCATTGCTTGTCTTCTCTTCATATTTTTTAAGTCCTCACACAAAGAAAGGTTTTTTTAAAAGGTTGATTCGCAGTTGCTGCTTTTCAGATTTCAGCACACTAAATTCCAAATGAGCCTTGCGAAAGCTTGAACAAATTAAACAATCCTATTTGCATGCTGTGCTTAAAAAACAAAAACAACCATCAGTTGCTGTTTACTTCTTCATGTGTCAAAAGTCAATGAAGGATTCTGGGTTACGTCTCTGACAAACCTTTTGGGGGAAGTCAATTCCAAGCTGAGAACCATACTAGATGTGATGTTATTTGTGTAATTAGCTATTCTGCGGCTGCTTTTTTACCATAAATAATCAGGACAGTGAGCCAGATTTGGGGGGAGGGAGTTGCCCATGCAGCAGTCCTGCTGCAAATTCGGCAACCCCACACCTGCTATATAAAAATAATAATCTGCCACATAAGGACTAAAGATGGGAATAACATCACTTCTAGTTTGGCTCGGAGAACACTTCCTTTAATTCCCTTGTCGTTTATTCTTGCTGCAGGAAGAATATTTGTGCTGACCCCAGCGGCTGTATTTTCCATTCGGAGGGCCCAAGCCCTCCCAATTCTGTAACGCAGCCTTAGCCAGCCTGGTGTTTCTGGACTACAGCTCCCAAGGCCGTACTGGCTGGGGCTGATGAGAGTTGTAGTCCAGAACACCTGTCAGACACCAGACCAGCATTTTGCACTGGGCCACAAACATCATTAAATGGTAGAGAAAGTTGGAGCAGCACTGGCAGAATCTTCTTGTGTGTGGCTTCACTCTAGTCAGCTACATTTTCCAACCACATGAGAGGGCAGCATGCGGAGTGCCTGCGTTCCAGGGAAAGCTGGGACAGTGAAAGGGGAAGAAGTGTGAAGGGGTGTGCATATCTGTGTGTTCACACATGCACGTTCACATTCCTCAGCTTGGGAGGCAATGTGAATTAGTAGAAGGGTAAAAAGCTTCACTGTTTAAGAGTGCATAGTCAGGTATCTCTGTCTTGAATCTATGTGATTGGTACTTGAAAATAGGTATGCGTCCCCGTACATTACTATTCTAGGTACAGTGGTACCTCGGGTTAAGTACTTAATTCATTCCGGAGGTCTGTTCTTAACCTGAAACTGTTCTTTACCTGAGGTACCACTTTAGCTAATGGGGCCTCCTGCTGCTACCGCGCTGCCGGAGCACGATTTCTGTTCTCATCCTGAAGCAAAGTTCTTAACCCGAGGTAATATTTCTGGGTTAGCAGAGTCTGTAACCTGAAGCGTATGTAACCTGAAGCGTATGTAACCCGAGGTACCACTGTACTAGCTCTCGTCTCTGTCTAAAGCTGCAATCCTAAAGACATATATGTCTGAGAGTAAGTCAGCATAGATATGCATAAGATTACACTATAAACTGCAGGAAATTATCTTATCCAGAAATAAGCTGCGTGCTGTGCAATTAGGCATGTTTACCGATGCAATATTTATAGCCAGCATGCCACCACCCTGCCAAATTGTGACGTGAAATGAGAAAACCCTCAGCCAGACCTAAAAACACAATCTTCCAGTTGGTTTTTGGCTTGCTCAACCACCCCATCCCACCCGCTTCAAATAAAAATGCGAATTCTCACACATTAGGGATCACAAACAAGAGGTAGGCAGGCCTATGTATTGCCTAGGGACTAGTGGTTGGAGAACTAATTAGGATTATAAACTGGAAGTATGTAAATTAAACCAAATATAATTATCTGCCAGTGGCCTTTGGAAATAGGTTACAGGATACTTGTTAGCAAAATTGCTCAAATGCCTGGAAGCCACACAAAAGCAGACCATCAGCAGTTTAAACTCCCTCTCTTATTTTGTTTTCGGCAGAGTCCTTCTTGTAGGGAACTGCATGGAACACAAACTAATTAAGAAAAGACACCATTAACCGAAAGGTGATGTACAGAGATTGGAACAGTGTAATTCTTCCCTTTACCTCTCCCTATCCTAATCCTACAGATTTGATTACATTTAAATTCCTTGCCACACAAACGACAAATGACTGAACCTTGGATGCTGTCATTTCCCCCTAGGATCTGTGTTTTTCTTGCATCCCTTAGAGGAAAGAAGCTAATCCTGATGAGCAGGCTGTTTTGCTGCTGAAACAAACATTCCTGTGATGCAAACTTTTTAAAATAGCATCACCGCACTTTATTCTGAAAGGGCATTTACAGAACCAAGTAAAAGGAAACACACATAATGCATGATCCTTAAAAACAAGGAATTCCGACCGCCACCACCCCAGCACGGCAAAAAAAGAAAAACATTTTTTCTTCCCTAAGGATAGAACTACACACTGCATGTACCTTTGCTTAATGAAACCCAATGGCGCTGCTTGTAGGGAAAACATAGCTCACAGGTGTGGAAGGGGGCACTTTGGGAACAGAGGGTGGGCAGGGGGATTAGCCCTCCCCTTCTACCACCTGCCAGGTTCACATTCAAAATAAACCACAAATTGCTTTTCTTCCACAGAATTCCAGGTGCATATTTATATTGGTAAATATATGTATGGAATCCTGCGGCTATCAAGATTTTGTTAGCAAATGATTTTGTTACGTGTTGTTCTATCTAAAGGGGTTGTCTGCACAATCATTTTTGAGGCTAAAAAGTCACATTATCAGCAACTGTTTAGCTTTCGGTAGCTTGCAGTTGGACCATGTGGGAATTGTTTAACAAGGCCACTCTTTTTGTGTTTATTCGTTTATAACCTGCTTTTCTATTTCCGAGCTGCTCACAATTAAAATATTAAAGACAGCCATATACAACATATTAAAAAACATAGAGCCAGTCTCAAGAAAGGAAAAACAATGAGATGAAATGATTCTACTTTTCAAAGCGTTGCATTTCAGACTGGTAGGTTTACACACAGTCATGCTTTGCAGTAATAGCCCAACAGAGATGCGTTTCCAGACATGGGCCTTCTCCAATAAGCCAGATGCAAATTCCATCTCTCTTCACATATGTCTGCCATGTGGCCTTCAAGTGTTGGGGACACACATTTTCCCTCTACACTTTACTCCTGTGTACCCACATTGCTAAAGTAAAATGTAATTTGTACCTTAGTGGCTTTCTGGCCTGCGGACTCAAGTCATCCTTCAGTAGCAAACACTCTTGCATCAGGGCAATACAGGCGTGGCAGCACCTAGAATTTTGAACTCTCTGTCCAACAACATTTGATGGGAACCTTTCTTACATTATTTTAGACACCTGCCTATCCAGACTTACGATTTCGTTAGGAATACTTGTTTTTATTTTTTTCTGATTTTATCTCTTTATTATTGATAGTTGCCACTTTCATGCATTTGATCAAGCAGTTCATAAAATTTCTTGCATAAATAAATATGCCAGTCTGGAATGTTTCATCAGCCTTGAGAAGTATTCCAGTGGGCTCACATCAGATTGCTCAGAATGTATGTCAATGTAAAGTTGGCTGTCATCCACATCTTGGCACCTCAGTCCACACCCCTGACTGACTTGCCCTCCCAGGAATTTCACATGGATGTTAAATAGAATGGGGAACAAAATAAGAGCCTCACAGAACTCCATAATCACCAATGGACTGAGTCATAATTCCTGCAACACCATAGTTTCAAGTCTACACTCAGACACTCAGTTCAGAAGGATATTATGGTAGATGGGAACATCTCAGAAAGACAAGAACGTGAGTAAGACCTTCCTTGTAGCTGCAAGTACAAATCCCGGAAACATTTCTTTATTAGCACCAAAGAACAAGTTTTACCAGCACCTCTGGAGGCATCTGAGATTAGTCTTTCTTTAAAAAAATCTACAAACTACGTTTGTCCTTAACCCTACATGTTGGTGCTGCTGTATGAATGACAACCACATTGTGTCATTCTGTGGTTCCTGTGCCATAATATCCTAGCCTATACACAAGAGCAAAAAATAATCCCTGCTCCAAAAAGGGCCTTGACTGGATCAACCTATTCGTTGTAGTTTGAGTGTGAGGTTGTTAGGATCAATTCCTGAAGCAATTCCTGGAATCAAATTTCAAAATGGAATATGGCACAAGTCTTGTGATAAATATGATATCTGAATGGTTGAAAATGAGACATTTTCTCTTCCGGATTTCCCAGACATCGGAAAGTATAAAAATCCCACTTTTTCTTTTTATTCAAATGATCAGAAGTTGTGCATGAGAAGAGAGACTGTGCCCAGTTACTTAGTAGAAAAGAAAGCCAGGAGAGTCGTGAATCTCTAGTCACCTGCCACCTGCAGGATGCAAATAGGCAGTGAAAATATGCAGATAGATATACACAGACAAATATATTTAAGGAGCTCCCCTGAGAAGCCAAGGAACTGGGGACATTTTTCATCCTGAGGTTGGGACAAAAGTAGGTGGAGCAATGAATGGCAATTTTATGTTTGTGCAGTAGGCGACCACCTGAACACACTCACAAACGCCTCTCCTATCTTCCATTGAGACAAGTAAGAGTCATCAACAGAGCCCAAGGACACGATCCAGACGGACACAAGTACTAAGTTGCAAAGTCGGCTCAGTGTGGGAGGTCTTCTGGGGTCAGGGGGTGCACCCTGGGGAGCTTTTCAAGGGCCACATTCAGCTATTGAGATCCAAGTGATTGAAGCAGCCATATTACACCTGCAAAGCAGTTCCCAAGACAGGGACCTTTTCCCCTCTTCCCAGTGCCCTCCTTTAGCAAA